AATTTTAGTAAAATACAATGACATTAAACCTCATTTTAATGAAAGTATTCATAAAGGAATTTTTCAAGGAAAAATGATTTCTTTAAAGAACGTAGAGGTTTACCGAGCGAATTATCCCGACGGGCACCTACGAGCCCAATACGATAGGTCCGTAGAATTTCGAATATTTAATGTGGGTCCAACGCCCACATTAGTTTAAGAGACTCCGTTGGAGTATAAATTCCAGCGGCGTAAAAGTTAGAATGCCATGTATAAGTCCTAGGCCGAATTGGGCCTTAATATCATACCAAGGGAAATCTAGGAAAATAAGATTTTGAAGATTTAATAAATTAATCTTTATTATCCTTTAGTAAAGGAAAGGAATATATGCCTTATGGAAATGGTTAGATTTTCCTTCATAAGTTGCTAAAATAAAATAGCAAATAATAGTTAATCTCACACTCTTAATGGGTGTTCAGTTTCAGAAGAAAGCAAGAGACTAGGCTGATAGGCGAAAAAGGGATTCCAGCTTTGAAAATCAAGTAAGTAGGAATCTCGCCTACAGTATAAATAGATTTTAAAGTAAACAGTACACATGAACTATATATGTTTGAGTACATTTAATGTTATGAATGCTATGCTATGTTATACTACATACACTTAGGCAGTACACCCGAATTATATGTGTTCGAGTACATGATATAGTATGCTATGCTAGGTCATATTGCATACACCTTAATAAGTCAAGAGGAACTTATAAGACTAATCTCAGTTGAGTGCCGTACCAGCCTCCACAAGGGAGGTAACTCAAGCTCCACAAGGGAGAAAAAAATAATAATAATGATGTCCTCCGACTCAAGGGAGGCATTCAAGTTATAATCATGGTGTCATGGGGGACCTTGCAAACCCTCACGTCCCGATGATTGCGCGCAAGTGGTACGAGCACTCGGGCCCATCAGTAAGAAAGATAAGATAAGATAATAAGATTCTGATAAGACATCATAATTAAGCATAATTGGCTCATGCATATTTATTCATGTGAACTTACAGTTATTTTGCGGGAAATAGTTCCTACTTGCTGAGCGAAAGCTCATTACAGAATGTTTATACTGTAGGTAAGCAACCGGCATATAATGCCTGATGGACTGCTGGCGAGTGGACGAACGATGTGGGGCTCGGGATATGGATACCACTCGCAAATATTTCCGCAATCAACTTTATGTTACAAATAGTTTTGTTAATTATGATTATGAAACAGATATGTTAAGGTTTGAATATTTTAATTAAGAAAGCAATTTCGTATTTTATGTTTATTATAAGACCTTTTAAAAAAAAAAATGTTCCGTAAATTTTAAGAAATTTCAGTAAGTACAAGTTAAAAAGTTAGTTACAGTGGCGGCCTCAAAGGAGGGGCGCTACATCTTCAAAGTGGGAGCTGTCAAAATAGAAAGTGGGAAAATAAAAAAGCCATCCCATGTGAAATGTCAAGAAAAAGTCCTGCTCCAGGGACATGGAAAAGTCTTGCCTCCTTGTTTGGTGCAGAATTTAATAGCAAGTCTTACCCCTTGTTGGATGATGATTTTAAGTTAAATTTAAGTTATAATTTGAGTTAAAATTATAATTTGGGTTTGTATTTAGATGTGCACATTTGAGTTATGATTTGAATTAAAAATCTATTTGAGTTTGTGTTTGAGTGTGTTAAAACTTGAATTTATATTTAGATAGTATTTTAATAAAAACTCAATGATGATGAAAAATTTTAATAGGGTATATGGGTAAGATTTTATTCATCTCTTTGTTGTGAACGTATAGAAAAAAAAATCATCTCAATCGAAACTAAAACGAAAAAGTTATGACGTTTTTAAGAATAGAAAAAATACTATTCATTAACTGGAATTTGAGTTTACAAACTTGAGTTGAGGGAGAAACTAGGCCCCGTTCATTTCATCGATTCGAGTTTAGAATTCAAGTTTTGCTACAGTAAAATATTCTCAGAAACAGTCACATCTAACTTTTTTGCTATAATAAAAAGCTCTCACATAAAGTCACATCTCAACTCGAATTAAAAACTCGAATCAGCGAACTAAACAAGCCCTTAAACTCAGATTTTAGCCTCAAACTCAAATTAAAACTCAAATTTTACAAACAAACATAAATTTGAAAAAAATTATAACTTGAGTTCAAACTTTTTAGAGTTTTACTCTAAAGGAACAAGCTCTAAAAGTTTTGAAAAGACTATTTTCAACACTCCATTCAAACACAATTTAAATTTTATTTCCGTTTCGAATTATAATTTATCTGCATATATGAAAATTTCAAGATAGATTTTTTTGTTCAAACTGAAAAGTTTTAAATCACTATAATTCGAATCTTTGAACCAAATTATTACCTTTTTTTCTCCTTGAGGTATACTTGGTGCCTTTTTGATACATCGCTTTCCAAACTCTAATAATGTTGAGTAATACCTTTCAAGAAATATGTTGTTGAATAATTTTATACCGTAAATTAGAACTATTAGTCCCCGAATTAAGGTCATTGTATCACTTTGATCTCTGAACCTTTATTATTATTATTATTATTATTATTATTATTATTATTATTATTATTATTATTATTATTATTATTATTATTATAGTTTTTCTTATCCTTTATTATTATTATTATTATTATTATTATTATTATTATTATTATTATTATTATTATTATTATTATTATTATTATTATAGTACCTTTAGAACTTTGATTTATTGGCAATTATAGTCTCTCACACTAAAATTAATAAATGATTTCTAAAATTTGGTACGTCCCAAATCATATAGTAACTAACATTTTAGAGAAACAATTACATTAAATGTTAATTATTCTTCTAACATTGTTATATAAACCCATAAAAACTAGAACATTTTGCATTAATTAATATAAGTATTTAACGCATAGATGGCACATTTAAATTCCAACTGAAAATAAATATCTAAGAAAACGTTGGAGTTGGAGGAAGAGGAATGTCCATTGTGCCTTCCAACATCAAGATAATGTTGTTCATCGAAGGACGTAAATCGGGATCATCTTGAATGCACCAGATGCCCACTTTCACCATTCTCTCTATTGTCCTCATGTTAACATCTTCTTCATCTAATCCCACCAGCTTACCCAGTTGTCCAGCCACAAAGCAATCACGGACCCAATCACAGAGATCTACCTCATCTGGCGACGAAGCTTTAACATCTATGCTTCTCCTACAACATATGATCTCGAGAAGCACAATCCCAAAGCTGTAAATGTCAGACTTAACAGATATCAAAGCATTCTTCTTCCACTCGGGAGCAAAGTACGATCTTGTGCTCTCTTCAACCCCCACCGACTCTTTTCCTTGCTTTGGCATTAGTAGCCTTGCGAAACCAAAATCAGAGATCTTCGCAGTCAAAGTGTCATCCAGGAGTATGTTCTGGGGCTTCAAATTGCAGTGGATAATATGAACTCCACACTCTTCATGAAGGTAGAACAGACCTCTTGCCACATCTAGCGCCAATCTTACCCTTTCTCTCAAAGCAGGGCGGCGCACACTGGCCTTAAAGAGGAAATCGGCGAGCGAGCCATTGCTCATGAACTCGTAAACAAGAAGCCTTTTGGATCTCTCAACACAGAAACCAAGCAATCGAACCAAGTTTCTGTGGTGAGTCCTTCCAATGGTGGCCATTTCAGCTCGAAATTCTCTTATTCCTTCTTCCGCACCTCTCTCTAGTCTCTTCACGGCAATGGTTTTGTTGCTGCCAGATAAAGTGGTTCCTTTATAGACTGCTCCAGAGGGACCCCTCCCCAGTTCTTCCCTGAAGCCATCCGTTGCTCTCTCGAGTTCGTCGTAAGAAAACGATTGCAAGCTAAAATCTTCTGTTAGTCCGACATTTGCATTTTCAAAGAGCCTCTTGTACCTATAAATTCTCTGCCTGTAAATGAAGAAACTAGTGGCAGCAAAGACAAAACACATGAGTGTGAAAGAGCCAAAACTTAAGCCAAGAACTAAAACTGTGCCGTTCTCTGACTGATTTTCGGGAGGTGACTCGTCATCATGCTTCGTATCATTGAACTTTCCTGAAACCACCTTGAAGAAAGCTGCAGCTAATAAATTCGGATTCATTTTACCATACCTAAGCGGGAGCCTATACTTGCGGCAATTAAGACTCAAGTACAACGCAGCCCAACAGTTACAATCTTTTAGGCAAAATTGGCTACAAAATTCCTTCTTTTGCATTGGAGTAACTGAATAAGGATGATCTTCCCACGTCATGTTTTTTAGAGTAGACATGTCGTACCTCAAACGTGGCTGCTCTTTTGATCTGCAGCTATCTTCACTGAAATTATGATAGCAGCCTAGACCTTTATCACTGCCGTTGTTGAACACAAATCCAGGGTAACAGTAACAACCTGCTCTTTTGCCCTCTCCGACGCAATAACTGTTAAGGCCGCAAAAACCTTTGACATCACATTGGTTCTTCAAATTTGACCACATTGCGGAAACAATTGAACTTTTGTTGCTGAAGATTTGGTGTGAATACAATCTGAAAATTCCATCAGCATCAAGTGTTGCGCGATAGACAACAGTGGTGGTGTCACGACTTTTGGTTTGATTATAACCAGTAGTGCCATTTGCCAAGATTGTTGAGTTGGAAGTAGAGAAATAGAGAAGGCCAGTGTTGCTAAGACACAAATCTCCGTCGTTATAAGGAGCTTGCCAGTAAGCATTTTCCGGTCTACTGAAGCTGTTTGGAGCGTACAACACTAGAGTGCCGTCTTCCCGCCAGCTTAGACGGTAACCTAAGCCGGTAGACACTAACTCATGAGTAAGATGTTGACCTCCTAAAATTGTGTCCGTCGGATAATCAAAGCTTTCCCAGATAACATCAGAGTTGTTACGGAAGAGCAAGAAATTCCCAGAATCAAACACAGCAGCTGAAGTTACATCTGCATCTTGATGATCAGCAGGCAAAAGGATAATTGGGCTGTCTTTGATTTTCTGTTGACGATCATGAGTAGTTGTGAAAAGCAAACCTTGTCTTGTCAACTCCAACGTAGCATTTGAAGGAAAAGGCGTGTCATCCAGCTTATGAGTCCAAACAATTACGGGTTTAGGACGAGTGAGCATCCAGATCCCAATGGCAAAGTCGTCAGAAGTGTTATTATTATTGCTAGCGTTGCGATAGAAACCGAAGGCAAAGATGCCGGAAGGTGAGAGCCAATATGGAGTAGTGTTTGTGGTGGAGAGTGAGGAACCAAGTTTGATGATATTGGGGTTAGACTGGTTTGTTAGAGTTTCTCCAGTGACGACGACGAAAGAGATAATTAGGAAAGCAGACACAACTACTGCTTGTACAACAGCAGTACCTGAAGAAGCCATGGATGAAGAGAGAGAAAGGAGAGCTAGATTGGAGAGAGAGAGAACGAGATGCTAAAATTGCATTCCTCCAAAACTAAAAGGAGAGAGAGAGAGAGAGTAGTAGTAGTAAGTCTCCGCCAACGTAGACTTGGCTGACACAACTTTATTTTATTTCAGGGTCTATGATAAGTAATCTTTATGTGTTAGGATAATGTGGTGTCATTTTATTTGTTGAAAAGAAAAAAGTAGAACGGAGTCAATACTCAATCGTAGAAAAGCAATCACCGCAATATTGCGAAAGTTTGGGTATATATTAATTTGAATTATAAGATGAATGATGACTACTCAAACGAAGTGATTATTAAAATTTAAAGAAGTAAGCATAAATACATATATTCTCAAAAAAAAAAAAAAAAAAATTTCAAAAAAAAAAAAAAAAAAAAAAAAAAAAAAAAAAAGAAAAAGACTACTAGCATGTTCCATCGCTGTCAACTTTCTGCACCGCGGGACACGTGTTTTGGCAAATGTAAAAACCAGAGAGCCCAATGAAGCATAAAGGCTGGACAATTACGAGTGTCTTCACCTCTGAAATTGATAAAGACGAAAGCAGGCATCTATGTAGATCCAAATCCATTACACATCCTTGGGCTAATATAGATCCTTACAACAATATCATGATTAACTCTGTTGCCAGAGAACTAGAGAAGAGAATGTGCTAATTAACATTAACTGGCGTACAAGTAGTAATTGTTGTGAAATAATCGTGCTTGCTTTAAGAAAGCCTTAAGAGTTAGCACCCGTTTAGATCGGTTTAAAAAAATTATTTTTGACTTATTTAGTTTAAAAGTCGTTTTTAAAACTATTTAGAAGGACAATTTTAAAGTGTTTTTAATTTTTTAATTACTTTTAAAATAAGTCATTTTCTTAATGCTTATGAAAAACTTTTTAATTTACATTTTTAATCATTTATTTGTGAACAACAAATTAAATATCTCATCTATGTCTTTTTATTACATCACTTTTTATAAGAATAAAATGCTTTTAACTTTTTTACTGAAACATATTTATGTCTCGTTTATTTCACCGATTCGAGTTTTCAGTTTTAAGTTTTTACAGTAAAAAGTTCTCAGAAAATGTCACATCTAATTTTTTTTTGTTACAGTAAAAAACTCTCAGAAAATATCACATCTCAATTCAAATTAAAAACTCGAATCAATATTTTTTCAAGTATTATCCAAATACTAATTAAAAAACTCCAACTTATATTATTATTTTTTTTTACTCCTTAAACACACAAGCATAAATTATCTCAAACTGACCCTTAATTTCTATGCTATGTTTTGTCCTCAATGGTTCATGAAATAATCATGTTTACTATAGATATCCGCTCTAACATCATTAAAACGCATATGTTTGATATTCAACTAAAAATCTTGACAATTGACCCTCAAAACTTTGCACTGGACTTGTAGCTTTGGATTCTTATAAAATGATGTTTATTTAATAAATATTTAAAAAATAAACAGTTAAAATAATTTTTATAAAATAATTAAAAAACAGTGAAAATTTGTTTTTATTTTTTAATACTTATCAATAATATTATAATATTAATTAATAAATATAATTTTATTTTTTTATTATACTCAAAATAATCTTTAAAAAAATACTATTACTGTGGTATCGTTGGCCTTTACTATATCAAATTCAACTTTCCCTTTTATCATATCATACATTTTTCTTTCTTTTTCTTCTCTCCAAATTAGTCCTCATAAATATACTTTTCTTCAATTCCTTATTTAAATAATTTGTTCTCCTACATATCTTAAGGCAACTGGAAAGAGGGGGGTTGGTCCTCTATTTTTTATATAATCTGTAAGAGCTAAACAAGATAAATATAATATAGTGGATGTAATTATTTTTTATAAGGGTGAACTACTATAAAATCTCAGTGTGTCTCTATATATTCGCAAAAAATTATAACATTTACTTCACAATACATCCAAAATACAAACATAAACTAGCATATTCAGTTAAAACACAAATTTTGAACCGGTAACCCAACAGGTTACCGCGAGATAAGCAGATACGGTCTTGTTGACAAAATTTGACCGTCAATACATTACAAATTTTTCTATGCTATTTTTGATTTCACAGTTATTTAACAGGTTCGAATAAGTTTATCAAACTAGCAAGCTTAAGGGCACTATACATGAACGGGACCTTACTTATAGTTATTAGGAATACATTACAGGTACTAAATACATTACATGTACTTACAAAGCTTATAACATGCGTGTCTTATGCATATATTCGTATGAGAGATATAGATATGAACTAACCCACAAGCTTACACGGAGTCATACATACGCATAAAACACTTCTTTCTTTTCTGTGGTTTATTGACTGTAACGAGGATAACACAATTCGTTGACTGACCGAGTAATAAGTCTTCTTGTGTAGTTATTATGAAGGTACAACAATAATTAGAAGTCTTCAAAGTGGAAAATGTCAGAAACATCCAAATAGAAATTGGGAAAATAAAAAAGCCATCCCATGTGAAATGTCATGAAAAAGTCCCGCTCCATGGAAAAGTCTTACCTCCTTGTTTGGTGCAGAATTTAAATGCAAGCTTCGTAACTTTAAAAGATTCCACCATCGATGCTGAGTACATGGAAAAGTCTTACCCCCTTGTTTGATGCTGAGTACATGGAATAGATGGGTTTAAGATTATCCTAAAATGTAGTAACGTGAATTTCGTGGGTTTTATTTTTCTAAATTTTAAAAAAATTTAATAATTGTACTAAATATAAAATTTTTTTAATTTTTATTCTCATCTTTAAAATTACCTCATATCAAACGCTTCTATAATGTTCAAATTACACCTCTCATTAATTAAATAGAAATCAATATTTGTTTAGAAACAAATAAAACATATAAAATAGGGTTGATAATCCGAATAGTGACACGACGATACGACTCGAAATCCACACAAAGTTAGCGCGTTTAAGTTTATTATAAATAGATTTGGGTCATAATCAGATTGACACGATTAACATGATTAATAAATGAATTAGGTTAAGGTTGACCTCCTAACACAAAGTGACAGGAATTGACACGATTAACTTATGAGTTATTTGTAATCTAATGATATATGATATAAATGAAAGTTTATTTAACATATTAAATATAAATAATATAAATTTTAATATTTAGAGTTAAAATTCATTTATTTTTCTTAAAAAAAAGATAAATTGACTAATAAATATGTCAAACCTCTTATTTTATTGTGTTAGTAAATTATTATTATATTAATTATTTATTTAATATATTGATTTAAATAGATTATGTGAGTTGACACGATTAACATAATTAATAAATAAATCGTATTTGAGTTAATATTTTTAATATATTTAATAAATAAATTGTATTTGAGTTGATTTTTTTAATACAACGGATACGACGCACCAACGCGAATCGCCGTCCTTACCGTTTATTTCACCGATTCGAGTTTAAAATTTAAGTTTTGTTACAGTAAAAAGTTCATAGAAATAGTTACATCTAACTTTTTTACTATAGTAAAAAGTTTTCACATAAAATCACATCTCAACTCAAATTATAAACTCGAATCAACGAAGTGAACGAGCCCTAAATTATAAAAGATTAAAACCCACCGATTCTCTGTTTTTGTGCATTTCCAGACTCGCACTCCTTTAGGGTTGTTTTTTTAGAGTGTAATTTTTGAGTTGAATTTGAGTTATAACTTGAGTTAAAATTAAAACTTGAATAAAATTAAATAAAATTAAATAAAATTAAAACTTAAAAGAATTTGAAGTTAAATAAAATTTAAATTTTTTTTTTTTTTTAGTTTTTTAGACAAAGAACATACCCTGGCTCTTTTTGTTTCCTCCAAACAATCAATGATAATGAACAACATTGCTCTCCCCCATCTTCAAACTCCCATTCCAAATCACCAAATTACTACCAAATGCTTCAAACCCAAAACCCCCATTTTAACCACCACCACAACAACAACAACAACAATCCCAGCGAGAGACAGAATCATAGACTTCGGAAAACACAAGGGAAAGATGCTCGGATCCCTCCCTTCAAGCTATCTGAAATGGGTCTCCACAAATCTCAGAGCTCAAGACTTGGAGGACTGGGCAAAGCTCGCCGACCAAGTTCTTCAAGACCCAGTTTACCAAGACCGACTTGAATGGGAATTCGCCCAGAACGCCTTGGACAGAAACAGAAGCAATTCTTCTTCATCATTTTCTTCTGGGGTTTCTGATTTGGTGGAGATAAGCGAGAGATTTGGTTGGGACAATGAGGATAAGATTGGTTGGAGCGGAGTTAATTTTGTGCTGTTGGGGACTTCCAAGAGTGGGAGGATTCCGAGGCTTGGAGGGAAAGATGGAGGAAAAAGAGAGAGGAAAGAGGGAGGGAAAGTTGAAGGAGAAAGTGGAGGGAGGAGGAGGAGCGCGAGGAGGGAGAGAGTGAGGTTGAGGATGAAGAGAGAGAAGAAGTTGGGGATTGTTGAGAAGGGTAGGGGTAGTTTGGGAAATGATAGTATTAGCAGTGGGAATGCGGTTGGGTTTTTCGAAAAGAAGAATGAAATGGTGGGAGAGATTTACAATCCATTCCTGGGACGTGAAGCTCTTTTGAAGAATGTAATGCTGCAGAAAAGATTTGTGTAGCTTTTTTTTTTTTTTAGAGTTTTTTTGTTTGAATGATTTTTTTTTTTTTTTTTTTTTTTTTAGAGTTTTTGATGTATGATGTAATTCAATATTCAGATTTTCTGTTTTATTTTTCTTGGTTATTGCTCTTGCGAGCATTAAGGATCAAAGCTTAAGTGCAATTTTTTTTTTTAAGAAATAAATTGTTGGTCCTGTCTATCCTTTTTTTTTTTTTTGGGTTCTTTAGAAAAGAAAAGAAAAAAAAAAAAAAGAGTAAAGCCGCCGCATTGTTTGTAATTCGGAGTGGAGAGGTAATTCGGAGCATTGGTTTAGGGCAGAGTGGGTGTGTGGATAAGCTGAATTTTAAGAGGGTAACGCCTTTATCTACTATGAGGTTATGTCCAGCTACATGATATTTGTTATAGTTTTTCCTAATAACCAATTACCGAGCAAATTTAAGCCATGATATGATACATCCTAAGTCCTCCAATTGTGAGTTGAGAAATACTACCACTAGGATGTATCTGGAACCGTTGTATATGCATAATAAATGCATTAGAAGGAGTTGAAATGGTCTGCCTCACAACAAACTTAACACAACCTAAAAAAATAAAAGAATTCTCTTTCTCATGTAGCAGAAGCTTAATCGAAACCATAATAAAAAGGTGAATCAGTTAACATGTCACACAAAATACTTGAGAAACTGCTTCAAGATCCGTTGATTCACAACGAATAACGGAATATTTGATAGGAAAATAGAGAGAAAATTCGAAATTTTTTGAATATATAGGCAAAACAAAAATTGAAAACTTCCTTATTCTATAATAAAGAAAATAAAAATACAAAATTTTTCAAAAAAAATAAAGTTTTGAACTGAAAACAAGAGTTGGAACTGCCAGACACAAGAAATAAAGAAACACAAAGGAATTGGAATCCGTATTTCATAGGTCAACTTATAACAAAAACAAAAAATTACTAAAAATGGTAAAAACACTCTTTTGAAGGCATAAATGATAGAATTTCACAAATCCGACATCGTCAAAAGACCCTATGAAAATAGAAAAATTTTCCTTACTTGGCTTTAAGATGTTCCGAACGCGCCATAAAGATCCCTCCACACCGCATCACTTTCTTAGAACATCTCTAATACAATACTATAATTGATGTGTCAATTGCAAATTTAACATTTGAGTGTGAAAAACACTCTCTAATGTAATGTTATTTGTTATGTTAAATTCCTCATATGCTATATTTTGTGGTAAATTTCCCACCAAAATTTAGCATATGAGAAATTTGGCATATACAATACACTACATGAGACCACATGCTAAGAGTTTTCTCCCTGTCCAAGGGATGGAACCGATTGTGATGAGGGTGAACCCATATTTAGGATAACATGGTTTTTGGTATTTTAGTTTTGCACAACTTCGCTTATATTTTCATATAAGAGATCTTGATCTTAATAGATTAAAATGTTACTTGGTCATCAAACGACAGTGGATATGTAAAGCGGAAAGGATAGTTTTCTCATTGAGTACCCTTTCTCTCCTCACTGCGGCCACCTTATGAAAAGCATATGGAGGATTTTAAGCAGTCACATTTTAAGTAATTTATAATGTATAATTAATAATCCACACATTTTAGTATTGATTAGAAAACAAACAAAAATATATCATCGAGATTAACTGTTATATCACATTTTAAGTAGTTTATAATGCAAATTTTTTGGCAATCAAAATTGTCACACAATTTTCAACATGAAGCAACATATCATTAAATCCAAACTGTGAACGTGCTCTTTAATACTAAAAGTGGTGATGAGCATTAAATTAATATTGTCTTGGCATCATCACTCTGATATTTTCTACACATTTTATAATATATATACAAAATTTGGAAATGCACAAGCATGCATTTGCTTGGCAATGGTTTTTTATTTTTATTTTTTTTTAAATGGAGATTACATTCCAAATCAGAGAAATATAAACACTAATTAGACATGAAAAACCCAACACAATTAACGACTCAACCCCGCTCATAAACTGAAATCAGCCGTAAATTCGATTGAAACGCTAAAGGGAAATACTAACTCAACCCATTTTTGTAAGAAAATAATGCTTGCTCGTTTTAAGATATCTATTATTAATTAATTAATTTCATGTTTCTTTATAGAAAGCACTCCCATTAAATGTACCTTCAGAATCTGAAGTCTGGTTCTCTGCAGTACTCTATTAAAGTCATATATTTCAGTCACTGAAAACTCAATAATTTTAAGAATAAAAAAGAACAAACAAATAGAAACGCCAAACAAATTTAACTAAGGGATACTTTTAGTATCTACTCGTCGTTTTAATACATGTGAATGTGATAGAATTTATGTCGTAGTAGATATCGATAACACGTCCATTTGTTTAAATTTAGTAACTTATTTAATTCGGTGGTATTTCCCACACACACACACAGAGGTGGTCGGATGAATTCAAGAAATGTTTATTAGTTGGGGACTTTTGGACACTTCCCAACCATGACGATGACAAACAAGATTAATTATTTCTTCCCTTTTTTGTTTTTTGTTTTTGTTTTTTGTATTAATCTTTTCTGCCATCTCTTGACGCACAGATCAAGCAAATTGAGGAAATTAGGCTAGTGTCCATTTTATACCACTATTTCGATAGAAGATCAAATTTTTTATTTTCAAAGAAATGACCGAACTTTTATGTTTGTCTACAGTAGTTAATCAGTGATAAAAAAATGGTTGATCAATGATAATTAATTTATCATTAATATACAAATTATAACTTATTACTAGTAAACAGGGTAACATATATGTCAGAATAAAATTGCATTAATCACTAACTGATGATGGTTAATTTACTTGGCACAGCGGACTCAAATTTACTTGACACAAGTTAATTTTCTTTTCTTTTGTCTCGTACAGGTTGTGTATTTGAAGAGTTTTGTTTTTTCCCATGTCCAAGTACCTAGGTTTATCCGTGAAAGAAAGTAAATTTATTTTCATCATCATCTTTAATTTCTCTGTGTTTTTTTTTTTTCTCTCAGTGATCCCTAGGTTTCCTATTTAAATAATGTGTCAAAACGGACGTATTAATTATATATAGATGATCATAGTACGCATAGATAATCTATAATTAGTATTACATCCTCTTGAGCCGTAGGAAATATGCAACTGGAATTGATATCTTTCTGGTCCAACCTTCCAATCTTCTTAATCTCCATTGTAATTCTCTTGATCACAAAATTAATCCTCACAAAAAAGCATGCAAACCCTAAAAACCTTCCACCAAGCCCTCCCTCGCGGCTACCAATTATTGGCCATCTCCATCTCCTAGAGCAACCACTTCACCGAACTCTGCACCGCATGGCAGACAGTTACGGCGACGTATTCCTCCTTCGGTTTGGAACCCGCAACGCCGTCGTTGTGTCCTCGCTCTCCGCGGCCGAAGAATGCTTCACGAAAAACGACGTTGTTTTCGCCAACCGTTCTCAATCACTTGCGGGGAAGCACCTTAATTACAATCACAAGACCATAGGATTCTCCAACTACAACGACCACTGGCGTAGCCTCCGCCGTCTGACATCACTCGAGCTCTTGTCCGCAACCCGCCTTTCGACATTCACCGGTATTCGACACGAGGAGATTAAGCTAACGGTGAAACAACTATTAGAAGAACACAACTCGAGTAATTATGAATTATCTCATAATTATACAAAATGGACAAGAGTAAAGCTGAGACCAAAGATCGTTGACCTTGTATTCAACATCATGATGAAGATGATCGCCGGAAAGCGGTACTACGGGAATGAAGTTGTGGCAGAGGAAGCCAAGCAATTTCAATCAATCATAAGGGAGGCGTCGGAGCTTTTGGGGAGCGCAAACATAAACGATTTCTTGCCATTTTTGCAGTGGATAGATTTTCAAGGCGTTGAGAAGAGGATGATCAAGTGTATGAAGAAGATGGATAGCTTTTTTCAGAGCCTCGTTGACGAGCACAAGAAAATAATAACAGCGAGAGCTGAAACTGGGGCAAACGACGATGAAAGGAACGTGACGTTTATCGAGCTTATATTGTCGTTGCAGAAGCCGAATCCAGAAGCGTATGACGACGAGACGATAAAAGGTCTTATCCTGGTAGGGTTTTAATTCCCGTGTCTATTTTATTTGAGATTTGAATTGCATATTGCGCTACTGATCACATATATATATATATATATATATATATATATATGTGTGTGTGTGTGTGTGTGTGTGTGTGTGTGTGTGTTCAGGCAATGCTGTTTGCTGGGACCGATACTACAATACTCACAATCGAATGGGCAATGTCACTTCTTTTGAATCATCCAAACGCAATGCACAATGCTTGGGCTGAGATAGAAGGTAACGTAGGACATGACCGCTTACTCAACGAGTCAGACTTGCCAAACTTGCATTACCTACAAAGTGTAATCAACGAGACGTTTAGGTTGTTTCCAAGTATTCCAATCATACCGCGCGAATCATCCGATGATTGCACCGTCTCGGGCTTTTTCATACCAAAAGGGACGATGATGTTTGTCAACACATGGACCATTCAAAGGGATGAGAAGCTGTGGGAGAATGCAACTAGTTTTTTGCCAGAAAGATTTGGAGAACATGGTGCACAAGGTATCAATAAGTTACTTATGTTTGGTGGGGGAAGACGAATATGTCCTGGGGCTCTTTCAGCTCGAAGAGTGGTGAGCCTGGCATTAGGATCCTTAATACAAACCTTTGAGTGGAAGAGAATTGGCGCGGAAGTAGTTGACTTGGCGGAGGAAGGAGGCCTTCACATGTTGAAGGTCGAGCCGTTAGAGGCCTTGTGCAAGCCGCAGCTAACCATGCTTCACACCCTCAACCAACTTTAGGCGTGTTTAGAGTTTTGGAGGCATTTGCCAGAGCCACCAATAAATGACAAAGCTATTTCAAGTACCAGTCTCTATAGTAACCCAACAGATTATTATCGCAGTCCGTCTGTTTACTACCTCCAACTGATAAGCTACTGCCGGCGCATGGACACTGGTCTGTAAAATGCACTAGCTGATTACCATCGGTAACCTAGCAACGCCCAAGCGCCAAAAGCCAATAACCAAGTAGCATCACCATAGTGTAACCGGAATTGCCACCTGCCCAAACAGACATATATATCTACAAATGTTTTCCATAATCAAGCTGTTCATATTTTACTTTACAAACCTTGATTGTGGTGCTTTCACTTATATTACACTCTCTCTAGTCTTGGCAATAAACAAGCAAGAAAAGTAATTACTAATCTAGCAAGGCAATGTGAAAAATTTTGACTTGGTGCATCATCACTTTTGATGTTTCTATACACTTCAATACACACAATTTGATAACGCACCAGCATGCATTTGCTTGGCAACGCTTTAAATATAAATTAAATGCTGACAGCAGGAAATACTGATTCATCACATTTTTTGAAGGAAATAATGCTCGCCCATTTCAAGATTTCTATTACCAATTTGATGTGATTGTTTTCTGCAACCAATGTAAGCAACCCTCGGGTTCTATATAGAAAGCAGTCCCATTCTATGCACCTTCAGATTCTGAAGTCTGGCCTTCTGCATGAAAAGCTTCAACATTAGCATCCAACTGTTTTGACACTTTCATTTCAATCAACAGCATATTACTAAATTTGCTAAAATTGCCAAAAGCAGGAGTGTCCAGATTCAAAGATCTGTCAAATTCGATTCGCAACTATAAAACGTCATTCCGTGCTGTGAAAAAGTCACTTTTAATAATGTTCCAAATTTTAAGCTAATATGGGAAATGCTCAATTTCATCCATACATCAAGGATTGTCTGCTTCCCAATGGTGGGTTACAAACTCTGTTGGATTCATCACGCTCTTAGAATAACTGTTTTCAATCCTAATACGGAAAGTCTATAAATTATGTAAAAAATAATTTTGCATCCACGTACACTGCACCTCAGCGCGTTCCTGGAAATCTACTTATATGTTCATGTGGATACTTTCATATAGAAACATTTTAGTGTGACTATTTTCTTGAGCTGCCGTATAGAATTTTCTTTGGTCTATAAAATGGCAATAGCAAAACAGGCTTTCATTTGGATTAGCATGTCTGAGAACTATATGAAACATTAAAAACACGCATAGTAGTTCTAAGCAAGAAACTGACACACCTTTGCCGGAGAGCTGTTCGAATCGAGCAACTATGTGTTTTCCATAAGTGTATTTCCTCAAAGCATGAAGATGGGTTCTTGTGCGATCAAGCAATATTTCCCGCTGTCTATCATTGCTTTTCTCAAAAATCTTTTGGACCACGTAATTTGCAAACTGATCCTTCATCATTGTCTAGACATATGAGGCAGACAAAAAAGTTCAGTATCCAGAAAAAGTTTGCTATGCTATGCGCGAGATCAATAGGTCCAAAAACCAGGGGAAAAAAAGACTAGAAAAGGTTATGGTTTTCAGTAGTGAAGTTCTTGATATGTTTCTGAAAAAAATAGCTGAGTTTGAAGAATAACCGTTTGGTTAGTTCATGACCTCATGTTATTAGGCTACAACAGTGTTTATAAGAGCAAATCAAAGGAGGCCAGATTAAAAATAAAATTTACTGCTTTCTGGCTCACCTAAAGTAAAAACGCCTAAGCCAAGAATGGGTAATGGAATAGATATGGATATCATTTCTTGGTTACCCAGATTTTCAATGGAATATGACCAATTCCACAAACTCATTATATATGCAGTAAAGCTTTACTTGACATACCAGTAGATAATCATTTTCCTCTGACTGTCCTAAAATCTCCTCAATCAAGACCTCCACCTCGGACGTATTACCATGCTCCAAACACTTTTCAACAACGTTTGAGGCATACTTATGCTGACTCATTTGTACAATTCTCCCAACTAACATGCTAATAATTTGGCTCCGTTGATGGGGCTTTCCTCTTTCCAGAACATGCTGTTAACAGAATTGTCCACACTATATTAGATTCGGTGTGAAAGAACAGAAAACCTTATAGGAAAAAAAAAAAAAAAAAACAGAAGGGAAATATAAAGATATATAAACCACCTAATCAAACATTTGTTGTTGAGAGAGGTGCCAATTACCGAACTAAATGCACAAAAAAAAGCATTTTAACAACAAACTGACTTAGGACATTATACTTTTGATGTCACTGATTTTGGTACTAATGATATCATGTTAACTAAAGATACAAGTACTCTGTCTTTTTTTTTTTGTGTTGGGTGGGGGTATAAGAAATGATACTGTTTACTAAATAGCAACAAGACAAATAATTTCAAGGAAACAAGGACAAAGGGTTCACCTATAACAAGAAAAAGAAAGAGAAAAAATGAAACAAAGTCTAGAGGCTGCAACAAGTTAGCCCATCCAAAAGAGTATAGGCAGTTGATAAAAACCCAGTAATAGATTTCCTCTTACACAAGGTAAGATTAATTAAAAGAAACCTCCGAGACGTTGGAGCAAGATAGACCTCAATACAACAGCAAATACCAAAAGAACATGTCAGTTAACTGGTTTCAAATCACATTAATAGACATTAGTACAGAGACCTCCGACAAGATACCCGACAACTAGAGTTTCTTTTTTAATCTTCAAGGATAATCTCCTTCTTTAATTATTTATCTTGAGCTTGTTGCAAAAGTAAATTACCATGTCATGCATAAGACCTTAAACCATTTTCACACTTTTAGACTTTCCTTCATTTTTTTTTTTTAGTTTTCGGTACAACTTTCCATAATATCCTTTTTTATTAACATATATGGAGTACACACACAGACACACAGACACACACACGCACACACACATATTCTGAGCAAAAGCTGCACTTTTGGAATCGGGGTGTAGCATTCTGAATAATATCCTCTTCAAAATTGCAGATAAAGAAACACAAAGCAAAAGGCAAAATTTTGCATATACCTACATTTTTACTGAATAAAGAGAACCCCATACATAATGAATAAATTAGGACATCATACTAAAGAAAACAAACCTGGGTAACATAATTGCCGTACTGATCTTGAGCAAGAACACAAAATGATTCCAGTATTTCATCTATTATACACTGACATTGACTATCATCCGAACAATGCTCCAAAATTCTCTACCACAGTACAAAGAGTAACAATAAGAAACAGAACCAAAAGAAGGGGGGAAATTGAAGCATTAAAACTGAAGAGCACATGTTGTTACCTGTATGACACGACAACCGTAGGGATGAGTAGCAAGAGTCGCAACCTGGCCTTCGATAGAAGATATGATAAATCCAATTTTTTCTGGTGGAACACATTCTATACATTTCTGGATTACGTGATTTCCATTTTGATCATGGACACATTTCATTACATGCCCATCAAGCTCTTGCGCAAGAAGTGCTTTTTGATCATGCTCAATAACTTCAAGGGCCTAAATATACACATCAAGCACATAATCAGAATGCGAATCATCAGTATTAATATATTCAACTGGTGATTGGAACTGGCTCAAGTAACAGTAAACAACCATTTTATAAAGCAGGAATTCATTTTTACGCCGATACCACGAGAAATGGCTATGGCCTTCAGCTTTATAGTGATGAGGGTCCTCCAAAATACATCATTAAGAAATTAGAAAGAACAAGAGCTTAGAGAAACCTTTATGGCTTGCTTAAACAAATGATAATTCGACACACCTTTTGGATTACACGACAACCATACATCTGCAAACTCAATGGCAGAATCTGTCCAGAAAGTTGATCTGCAAACCCCTTTCTTTGTTCAGCACTTCCATGCTCGAAAAACTGAAAGCCCCCACCCCACAAAAGAAAAACGAAAAAAAAAAAACAAAAAAAAGCCCCTCATTGTAAGTTCACTAGTCCTGTGCATAAGATTGGAAAAATGCAACTAGTAACAAAATTTTCAAAGCATACCTTTTGAATAACATAATTCCCAAAAACATCAGTCATTAATCTTGAAGCGTGTGGAATAACTTCTTTGAAAACAGAATCCTTCTCTTCAGCACTGCAATGTTCCAACTTCTGCTGAATAAATCGACTCCCATGTTGATCGATGCTGAAGTCAAATACAAGTAAGAAATTATTTTTTTATAGAGAAGATTGTTTTGAAACTACATTTTGTGGAGACAAACAAACATGGTGCAGAACAATGCCTGAACTCAAAAATACGCCCTTCTATATCAGAGAGTTCAAGTCTTTTTGAATTGCTGGATTTCAGTTCTTCGAGAAAAGAAAGCTTGTTCAAGTCATCAGTGCTGTTGGAGACTCTCTTTACTTGCGATCCAGAGTATATTCCCGGGTTCCTAATTGGACCTTGAGGAAATCTCGTTTCGGTTTGGCGACCCAGATGATTTGCTCCACCAATTGGAGATGATGGCATTAATGGACTAGCAAGAGGAGAGGCTGGAAACTGTGTCACTCCACTCATGAAAGGAGGATTTCCATAACCACCGATTCCCATCTTTCTTGGAGCTGAAACGCTCCGACCCTCATTTGTTAGAGACTGAAACTTATGATCCCCCACATAAGCAGAAAAGGTAGACGCTTGCTGCGTAAACTGGCTCCCGATAATACCCCTTGCCAATTGACCATGCTGAACTGAACTACCATAAATTTCATGAGAAGGATTTGGATAATATTGCATATGCAAAGGATTCACAAAAGAAGGTTGTGGGATTGGCTCATGTTGCGCATAAAATTTTCTGTGGGGTTGCACATCAGCCCCATGAAGAATACCCTCCCCCATTGAAACGCCAGCAATTCTACCAGTGAAGCTTGGACTATAAGTAGCGCCAAATGGAAGAGGTAGAGCATTTTGAAAAGGATACCCAGCCATAAAGGGGGGAAGAAGTGTAGAACTTGGAGCATATCCTGGCAAGCTATATTGGGGAGCATATAAACTGGATTGCTGAAGATTAGGATAAAATGGAATGTTACCAGAAGGCATATATGCAGCTGCTGTTGGGTAGAATGGAGGGGTGGACCCGGGCAATTGCAAGGATGGTTGTACCCCAATAGACGAGAAGTTGGGATGACCATGGGAAAGTCTTTCCATGGAACTCGCCGAATAATTAATTCCTTGTGAAATTCTTTGACCTTGGATATCGTGAACCTGACGGGTGATGCCTTCTTGTCTAGGCAGGTGGAGTTTTGACAAATTTCTTCCACAAGATGGTGGCTTCTCTTGGTTTTGTTTAATCTCTAATCTAGAAGTGTTTGCACGAATGGCACCGCTAATTGGTGCATTAACCTCTAAATTATTACTCGATTCATCTTTCTGCAGTTTCCCTGTCTCGTCGGGATGCCATGAGCTTGGAAAAGAAGTTGACGAAGGACGGGAACTCATCTCTGGACAATTGATAGAGCCTGAACTGGGCTCTGGTGTCTTTTCGAAAGATGAAATATTGGATGATATTGCATGCACATTAAAATCAATCAGTTCGTCCGCCGTTGCGTGCCCAGAGGAATGAGATTGATTGTACACAGGAGATGGGGTACGAGGGAAGTCTTCCTACAAATCCACCAAGAATGTTAAACAAAGCAAGAATACAAAAACCAAAGTTCCACTGTCAGAAGAACAATGTTTTGAGTTTTGACCATTATGTGAAACACGAGCTATCGAAAGCACAAAAACCAACAATTTTAATAGTACATTTTTAGAAACACCACATAACTCATATATGCAAATCTAAAGGAACTCTACCAAACAGCGTACAGGTGATACAAAGACATTAAACATAAAAGAAAAGTAGTGATCACTTGACTCTTGACATGACATTTTCAGGGAAAAGTTTTCATAGTATTATTTTTTCCCTTTCCCTCCACAGCACCCAATGCGAATTGATGAAACACGGTTTCCTCCAGCTCGTCTCTTCCATCATTGCATAATTAGATAAGGGCCACAGTAAAACACTAAGCAATTGCCTTATGCATCAGATGAGGGTCTTTCATAGATCTAATCTTTTTCTTATCAGTGCCAAATTCAAAAGAAAAAGAATTAAAGCAATAACAATAAATAGCTCTCAGAAGTTTTCCGAACAATGAAAAAGTTGTCTCTCGGTTTTCTCTTGGCACTACAGGTTCCCTAGAGAAACTAACAATTATATTCAAGTGCAAAGCTTCTCTCTTCTCTAGTCATATTTTAACAAGTTCAATGGCTAAAAGAGAGATTTCGACATTTCACCATTTCTAGCCTAGCCAAGAATAGTGAGACAATTGCCAATACTTAGCACATAGAAAGAAACTTAAATACTCACTTTATAAAATATACCTGTATCAGATCAACCAAACTTTTATGGCGGCTTGCCAAAAAACCCGTGTTCTTTCCAGGCATTGCCGTAGTGCTATTTGCTACCAATTTTTCTGCATCTTTCCCGGGTGAACTCTCCTCCTCACTCTCTTCCTTATGAGTAGAAAGGGATCCCTGAGAAAAATGCAAGAATCCATTGCCACTATCATCCATAGAAGTTGATCTCCTATTGCTCCTAAGACTACTAATCTGGTGAACCTGGTGACGGTTCTCCTTCAATCCCATGTTGGAGAAGTAGCATGCCAAATAAGCCGGATCAGGCCGCTGTTGTTCATTGAACCCAAAATTTTTGAGGGTATTATTTCTTAAGTCGTCCAGGCTAGAATTCATACTAACGTTCTGTTCAATTAAGAGATTCCTAATAGATGCAAATGAACCTTCCATACTTGGAGGAGCACTACCACTTCGATTTGGTGCTTGGTTTCTGTGTGAGACGTGCTCTTTCATAACTAAGCCCAACTCCTCCGCTGCCATACTTTGTAATGGAGATCCAAATGTTGCGGCGTCCTTAGAAGACGTCCACTTTGTGCCTCTACAGCTTTCCACCATTCTCATAGGACTCTCCGTCGCCATCCCACCTAGAGATTGATTGTAAAAAATAAAACGAATAATTGCTATTCATCATTTCTTTCTGCAGCAAAGATTTCCCATTAGCTCATGCCACAAACTGGGTAATGCATCCTAAATGTAATGCTAGCATGCTGAAGACAGAGTTATGAACAAAACATAAATAATTAGGAATTTAAGATTGTGTTTATATATTAGAGATTATTTAGGTTTGATTAAGTTTATCTTATTATTGATCTAAAGTTAAAAAAACAAAGTACAAATCTGTAGAGCATGATGATAGATCATAATAGCAATTGATAATTTCGTGGAGAGAACAATTGCAAGTTATATCCTCAAATTAGTTCCAATAAACATGACAAACAGAAATAAATTTATAAATGTCTAATTAAAAAAAAAAGGAGCATCCCACAAGACAACAGACAGAATTGGAAGGAAAAAATCCCAACTTTTGTTTGTGCTGAATATAACCAAAATTCTGTTGATCACCTATAGTTCAAACCGCATCATAATTTATCATGTTCAACCCATTAGCTTGTCCATACATTTTATACTATATCTATCTCCTACATTCTTATTTTCAACTACAGTTGAAACTAACACATTTCTAACTTCCAAATTATGATGATTCAGAAAAAAAAAAAAAAAAAACAACAACAACAACAACTATGATTACTACAAGAATAACATTACACCAAAATAAAATTTAGTCCAGTAATCAAATACGGCAAAGTTACCAGCAACTTATATACCAATATATCATTATAAAATTACACTGAATGAATCTACAGCTAAATTTAAGAAAACTAGAGGAAGCCCACTAATCACCATAAACTCGCTCTAGGCAATAGGCATAAAAATCTTCACCAATAACTCCAAAGAGACAACAGACTTAAAAATAATAATAATAATAATAATAAAGAAAAAAATCCTTGAGAACAGAACAAACCCCAAAAGCTAATTAATAAAACAAAGACATAACACTAGGAAATAAAACCATGAACAAGAAACAAAAAAAATAAATAATAATAATAACAGAGTTGAGAGGGAAATACCGGCATAAGTGTTTTGACCATCACACCAAGAACTTGAACGACAAGTAAAGGAGATGGGCAAAGGCAATCCTGAAAGCTTAATAAAAAAAGACAATAAAAATAGCCCCTGTAAATTTTTTTTTTTTTTTAGAGAGAGAAGAAACTCTTGGAAAGAGGGAGAGAGATTGAGACAGGGTGTATAAAAAGTTCTAAACAGCACAATCAGAGAATCAGAAAATGCAAAATTTTGCTTCTTGTTCTAGCTCTCAGTTTCATTTTCTTCAGTTATTATAAATAAAATATTGTTGCGGTTTATATACGGGTCTATGAAATGACGTGAATGTATTAGGACAGTACGTTTGTATTAGGCAGAGGGCGGGGGTATTTACGTCATTTAAATGAAGAGCGAGATTACGTCAGAGTAGGGACACGCGTTGAACCGAGGCTTCCCGCAAAAAGAGTGGGTTCTGACACGTGGCTTTCTTGCCGTTATTGACATTGATTTTGGAGTCATTCTGAACTCCAAGACCGCGTTTGGATGTTAGTGAGTTTGACAAGGAATCTCGAAACCTCGGTGTGTTTTTGTACTTCGCAATTGGGTCAAGTCTTTCATGAAATTACACCACCATGTTCACTTCAAATTTCTTCGCATTCACCTAAAAAATTGTTCAGTCAATGGTCTACATAGCTTCATTTAGATTTACGCTATAATTTATTATTAGCAAATATTTTTTGATTTTTTTTTTTTTTTTGAGAGCATGTTCTTTAAATTTTAAGATATTTGAGATTTGTTTTTATAAGTAATAAGTTATCCATTAAATCTTTTATTTTAGGATATCATTTATTGAATTTTCTCTAAATATATTGTAATGTGTCCCAAATATTTAGGGGTTGTTTGGTTAGGAGATTCGTACTCCGATTCGAATCATGATTTATGGTTCGCTATAGTGTTTTCTCTCATAAAAAATACACATAAATCAAAAATGATTTTAATCTCATGATTTTAATCCATGAACTAAACGTCTTTTTAATTTATAGGACGGTACTTTGGTCGCTACCCTAACCGATACCTTTGGCTCTTCAATTCTCACAAAAGGAGCACTTACCGAAGAGGGGGCCGGGGAAAACGAACATGTCAGTTAACTGATTTTTTCGATCGGCCGCCAGTGATAACTAATTTTACTGGTGAAAAAATAGCAGTGAAGCTCGGAGGGACAGCGTCATTGATGATGGTGTGTTAAGAACAAAGTTAAATGGTCTTGAGCTTGGGCCTAGCCAGCTGAGTGTAGGTGGAGTAAGGCCTTAAGTCAAAGGGTGGGTATGGGTTTCATTTAGCATCAACCAACCAAAAGAAGAAAAGGACAAGGATCGGCTAAATGAGCACAAGCTGTGTTGGTCGGTCAGCCTTAGGGGGATGATCAGTGCTCTGCAAATTGCACAATTCATTGTGTGATATCAAGCACATAGAAAACGAACAAGTCAAGTTAGATTGACAAATTGCGTGCACTTTCTTATTGATTTTGGTTTCTCTTCTACCACTGCCAAAAGCATATACCGTTGGACAACGTAGGATAATAGCAAGCATTAACAATGACATGAAATCAACGAAAACAGCGAAAGCCAAAAGAACAAAACACACACATGGTTCAACATATGTGCTTGAGTTTAATCATTATCTATAGGTTGTTTCGAAGATAATCACCTCCTCTTGCAAAAGATCAACACCGTCAGACTGCGGATTTTGAGAAACTGGAAATTGTGTTGAAGTTGAAGAGGATGGTATCTTTCTGGTATAGACCAATGAGATCATGTGTTTCAGATATTATCTTCAGCCCGTGTCCCGCAATCATCCTGTTGGTATAAGCAAAGCAAGACATATTGCGACAGCTCAATCATCATCATATCGTAGCTAAAATAAAATGACAAAAAATACGATTTAGTTTGTATGGATTTTTTTTCTAATTTTAAGAGAGACGTAACAAGTAAAACGAGAGTTGGTTTAAGGATGTGTGTGTAAAAAATAGAATGAAATAAGAGAATGTCACTAATCACACGAGCAGGCATACATATACACACATATAGACGAGTTATCAATAGCTATGTTTTTTATGAGTGATTCCTATCAAATATAGAAAATTAGAATATATTGAAGATCGAATACTAGTAGAATAAAACTTGTACAAATTTCCTTGTAGGATAATACGTAATAGGCTTTATTAAGTGATCTTCTACTTCAAATAGGAGTAGTAATTGACTCTCCAGTCTTTTATAAATTGGGGTCGGATAAGGGATTATGGTAAATTGTGCCAGAATTAGGACCCAGAGGCCGAATTTTAGTCCTCCTCCGCAGAAAACGAGTAGATTGATGAGGTTTTCTTTGAGACCACTTTGATTCATACCATACGTGGCTGGTTTTTTCTTTTCTTGTTTTTTCTGTTTTCCTTTTTTTCAAAGACTTTCTTGATCGGATCCTCAAGCCTAATGTAATTCTTAAATGTTGCTCTTGTTAAGATTGATCAACTTCCCCATCTAGTTTCATGCTATATACATATTGATGTTTGTATTTGGTCTTGAGTGTAACTGTTTTTGATATAATCGTCTGCTTATAACATCCTTTTCTTTTCTCTGTTTGGTTGGGTTTCAAAGAAAGTACGTACGTAGATTAGAAAAGAATAAATAAATAAATACATATATACATATATATATATATATATATTTACGCCTAGTATTTACCAATAAATAGTGGAGATTTATCAATATGTTGTTTACTTTGTATACTTTTATATGAGTGTGGGTGTGTGTATATATACATATGTATATATTAAAAACTCGTTTATATATATAATATATATTGCGGCGGTTGGAATAAGTACGATGTTACTTACATTCAAAAGCTTCGGTTTCTTTAATTCAAAAAATAAAATAAAAAAGCTTCAGATTTTACTTGTACATGTTACACGACCATCCGTCTAGATATTGTTTGCCTTTGTTTTATTTTACTTTTATCACTAACTTGCAGATTAGTTCTCAAGATCCAACTTTGCAGAGTAGAGAGCAGTATTGGAATTGGAATCCCGAATCTTCTAGTTTAAATTTTTATATATATGTATATATATTTTGAATACGCATACATATGTAACGGTCGGTAACCCAGAAATAGGTAGAGATTTAATCTTGAAGAAAAGTACTACTTACAAGTCTTTAATGATGATGCAGAGAGAGGTTTAAAATTCATAGATTAACAAGTGTCAACTTCTTCCCTCCGGTTTGATATTTAAATTATAGACAGGATATTTTCATTCAGTAATATTTCTTTCAACAAATTAATTGTGTTAGGATTTCAAAGATGCTCAATGAAAAACTTTGGCATTTAGACAAAACAAAACAGTGCATAAAATATCAGCAACATTTATCTGCAACATGGCTGTAGTTATCTATCTATAACAAACTAAAATTGGTTTTCCAAAAAGTGTATCAAATGGGAAACCAAAGCTAGGCCCCTCCCTCCTACAGTCAATATGTGAAACTAGTTTGATGGGTGGTGTTAATACAGCAGCATAAGTATTGACAAAACTCTATCAAAAGGAAAGCGAAATTCCAGGTACTCCATGGTGGGAATTCCTTCCGGCTCGAAAAAGGGAAGAAAAATTTTGACAGTAGAGAGGGCTCATCCATAGTTGTTGGTCTTAGATTTTTCATACCTATTTAACAGGGGAAAAGGATTGGCGAAGGGTCTCTTCGCAACTTGCCATCCACGACGTCGAGCTTTTTCATCTTCTCCTCGCACCAAAATAGTTGTTCCTTACGAATCCTCGCCATTCTGACAACCCTTGACAATAGTTTGACGTCAATGAGGCTGAACAAGAGCTGAACGTCTTCTTTTGCCGAGGGCCAGGATCTCTTTTTCCAACCTCTCCTCTTCTTACGCAGCTCCTTTAGTTTCAATAGTTTCTGCAACTCAGAAAGATGATAAAATGACAGCCAAACATAGTTTAGTCATGAAAAGCATGGTGGCTTCGAGCCTACTGATGAAAAAAATATAAAAATATATAAAAGGACCTTTCTTGGTAAGAAGATTTTTTGAGGGTGCTAGCAATCTCCTGGACGGAAGTCTTAAGAAAACTTGATTATGACTTGAATCAAAATGTGACTTGGAACCATACCTTCTCAAGAGATGATTGAACCTGATGAAGCGCGGTTGCACCAGTTTGGTTCAGGTTTCCAAAGAGTCGAGCCCCACCAGATTTTTTCTTATCCATCTTCAGAAAAAGGTGGAAAGTAAGAATCGACGATTCCATTATCTTGATAAGATCAGGGGCAAGAACTGTTAAAGACGGTTCTTCTCCTTCCATCTCTTTCTGATCCGAAGCTAAGCAATTTCATCCAACAAATTAATATTAATATGGATACTACAATCACAACACCAAAGATGCCAAGTTAAAAGATACTTTGACTTTGTAAACAGAAATATTTAACATTCTAATATGCATATTACAGTACGGAAACGGCGTAATGTTATCATACTCGGCAGTCATATATTATAGAACTGTCAAAAAAAAAAAAAGAAATAATCCAATTTGCTATGAATTTGTCAAAAGAAGTATTTTACCTTTAGCATTAGGGACCTGCAGCAATTTCGGCAAAAGTTTCCTTGCACGAGTATAAATTTCGGGCCTAAGACCTAGCTCAAAAGGTTCATTCTCAACATATCTTTGTAATAAAACCTGAAATTGTTGAAACTGTTGAGCGCTATGGTTGTAGCAGGTGGGGTTTTCAGGTTGGCACAAAATTTTCTGGGTCAGTTGGGTGTATTGGCAGTGAAGTGCCTCCCAAGTCAAGCAAATCTGAGCTACATATGCCATCTCGATATCATGATATGGGTCAACTTGTAATTGCTGAAGATACTCAGTCTCATCCGCAGGTTCTTCAATCTTCTTCAAAGAAAGGCAGCGGAGAGGAGATGCTAGCTTCTTAGATGCAGATCTTGGTGATGGTGTGGTGGGAGTTTGGCAGCCTGCACAAGAGTTGTTTTATGAGGATTGATAATCTACTATGACAGAGAAAAGGAAGATCCTAAATGTCACCATATCTAGATGCCGTAGCAAAATGGACCACATATTTCCTGCAGATTTCACAACTCACAACTGAGGTCATATATAGCAAATATCACGATATTGGTTTGCCTAAACCGCATCAAACAGAAGTTCGGGTTACTAGTGAAAGGGCTACAATATTAAGGGGCTTCTCACAAGTGTTTCTTGAACTTTGTCCTTGGTAAGTAATGTGAATTTGTTTTTCATTTTTCCCAACCATTCATGAGATCAAAATTTATAAATTCTAAAAATCTTGAGTCAGCTAAATTGAAATAAGTGCCCACCACTTATGGTATTAAAATTGTATGACCAAAGATGACCCTCTCGAAGAATCAAGAATGATACCCTCAATAGAGTACCAACTACTTGATGGATGCAACAAACCTATGTTGGACCCCATAATAGGAAATGATTGGGTGGTGGACCTAAAAGAATGCATATTCCTCGTATCACTAGAACATCAATACTAAGGGCACCTAGTACAAGCTAATATTTTGTATGGGTAATTGAAGCATCTAGTTTTGGGTGAAACTGGCACGTTTATGGGAGTAGCTATTTTACCAATAGAGATCCATATCTATAACATTATTAACTAAACAAGAAGGATCGTGCCATTGCAAAGCTCTTAGATTCATAAAAGTTTGTGATCTAACATATTTTTTCAATTTCATGCACACATATTGGAGAACCCAAGACATATATTAGCAAATTCAGACAAACCCACTAGAATGGATGTGTTATGGATAGGAACCATAAAGATAAATATATCAGCTACAATAAATACCACCCTCTCTAGCTAAAGCCTGGACCATTTACCCTTGTAAGACCACTAATATTTCTAAGTTCCCCTATCCATTTCGACAATGCAAATAGCATCATGATCCGAAACCAAGTAACCCAATGTCGATTTGAGTACATATAGAGTATGCAATGTACTTCATTTAAGGGGGGAAAACCAATTAGCTACATTGTAACAAGCATAGCAGTTTCATTAAGTACTGATTTAATCTTTAATAAACAAGATCACAAAATAACATCATGATCTAAAACCAAGTTAATTATAGCATATATGGAGATCCACTGTTAGAGGAAGTTTGCTTCCAAGAACATCTAATGTGCTTCATTTGAGAAAGAAAACAAGTTAAGCTCAACCATAAAAAACAAATTTACCAGTCTCATTAAGCTGCTGCGCGCTCATCCGATCAAAAAACAGCATCCTCTCGCAATATTTGTCGTACAAAGCATCAAAGCCGCCCCACCATTGGCGAGCTTCTGCCTCCACATCCCTCCACTGGGTAGAGCTTATAGCCTGATCCGCTTCCTGCTCTTCCTCCTCATCTTCATCCTCTTCACCACAAGACTCTTCCTCCGGAATCAACACCATGAAACTATTCCTCCTCAGCTCCTTCAGCCTCCTCTTGACCTCGTTTGTGATGAAATCATCATCATCATCCTCAGCTTCAGCAGTGGGATCAGAAGCCTCATTATTTGTCTTATTATTAACAACATCTCCACCACCATCATTCTCTTTCTTTGGCTCCTCTGGCTGAGGCACAGGCTTGTCCTCCAAATCATTTCCCAAAACGGGTTTGTGGGCTTTCCTGAATTTCTTAACCTTGAAAAAATCCATGTTTGCCTATTCTTCCAGGTAATAACTAGGCTTATATAATGAGATTATTATTATAAGTCTGCAGTTCACACTCCAGAACCACACAACAGAACAACGAAGTTCAACTTTTTAGATGTAAACAAAACTCTTATGAGAGGAAAAGTACTTTTTCTTGTCCAGATGGACTAAAGGAGGCCAATGTGTGATCTGTCTGTGCCAATAATCTAACACAAATGTAATGTAGCCCAAAAAAAAAACAAAAACAAAAAAAAAGACTCCAATGCGTAACCACTGAAATCTGTGAATAAAATACTATTTCTATTCTAGAACGCGTCTTGAGATGGAATCTGGTAAGTGAAAAAAATAAAAATAAAAAATCCCTACAGATCTTAACAGAAGAAGAGCCTTCAAAATGCCATTATGAGAAGATCAGTGATCTGAAACAATATGAAGCCTCCAAAGTAAATCCCTAAGAAAGGAAGTAACTTTGAAGGGAACTGATGAAACCCAGAAAGGATATCTTTCCAAAGCAGCAAAATCTGTGTCTCTAAGATACTTCAAACCAAACAAACAAAACCCATAAATGGTTTAGAAAGCATTGTACAGATATAGATCAGAAACCCTCAAAATCCCACAAAGGGTTTTCAGATTTTCTTCATAACTTGACTGCTTTAAAGTACATTAACGGTACATATTACACAAATGGCATGAAAACCTCCCAAATCATTCAAAGCCTTCAACTTTACAAAACCCCAGAAAGCAATGACTCACAAATGATCAAAATGCCAGAGAAATTTGCTGATTTGTGCTCAACTTTTTTCTCTGCGCAAAACCACCCTTCAAATCAAGCCAAAAATATACGCCAAAATGTGAGCTTTTTGGACCCTTCAAAACCACAAAACTCATGAATGTGGCTCTAGAAACATCAAAATGGAGATCAGTCTAAAGCAATGTAAAACAAAAACCCCCACAAAAAATGCAAAGTCAGAAAGAAACAAGGGAAATGGACAAGAAAAAACCCTAAAGAAGAGTCACAAAGAGAGAGAGACAGAGAGAGGGAGAACTTAGTTACTGTTTGGGAACATAGAAAACGCCATAAATGTGACCGGACAGTGGACACCCCCATAAACAGTGTTATTTTTTTCCTTTACAAAAGTTGTTTTTTAAGCTTTTCTTCTTCTCATTTTTTGTTAATTAAAAATGAAAGAGTAATTAAATGAAGGGTAGATGAGGGGTTTTCAATTTCTCGTCGGGTTTTGGAGTTTTCTCGTAAATGGAAGAAGAAGCGCGAGCGCGAGGGCCAATACTTACTGAGAGAAGAAACAGTAGCAAGCAAAGCAAGCACAGCAGAAACAGAGCACAGCGGTGTCAGTGCGGGAGGCAGAGAATATTGTCAGAAAAACCCATACAAAAAAACAAAACAAACGAAAAAGCATTTTCTATTCTTAAATCTCATGACATACCCAAAAGCACCGCGCAAAAGTTGGTTTGATTTATGTGCTTTTCCATCACAATCACGCACTTGTCCTTACACAATCTTCTCTATGACATTCATGTCCCTACTTGTTTCGAGTTTTTAATTTTATGTAAACAAAATTTACCGTAACTAAAAAAAATTAAATATAATTTTTTATGATAATTTTAACTGTAATGAAATTAAAATTAAAAACTAGTAAGGTAATGTGCCGTTTCGAACTTATTTACCAAGCTAACCTATAAATTCATCATCTACTTAACTAATAAGAGCATCTCTAGTGTATTATTATAATTGATTTGTTAATTATAATTTAATATTTAAATATAAAAAACATTTTTTAATGTAATCCTATTTATTGTAATAAATTTATAATAAGTTTTTTCCTAAATATAGAATATAACAAATTTGACACTTATTTCAATCAGTTGATATAATTACATTTTTCATTTAATCAATTAAAACTTTTGTTTTTTTTCAAATTATTTTAAAATTAAAAAATTACTTTTACAACTTTCAAAGTTTATGATCCGTTTGTTTCATATACTAAAATTTAAATCATTTGTCAGGTTTGGGGTTGTTCTTGTTTTTATTTTTCACGTTTGCGAGAAAAAAAAAATGAAAACGATTCTAAAACGGCGTTTAGCATAATTAAAGACAAAAAAAGGAAAATGAAAACAATTTTTTAGTTTAGTGTAAAATGAGAGAGAAGTCGTTTTTCATTTTTTATTTTCGTTTTCTCCTCTCTCAAGCAGAGAGAAAGAGAGAAAGAGACATTAATAAGTTTTTTTTATACTGAAAATAATCTATTGATAAAACTACCAAACACATTTTCAAAAATGATCTTTGTCTGAGATTGAAAATGTTTTCATTTCCATTTTCATACAAAAAATAAAATCATTTTGGAACGAGTTTTAAACGTACCCATTGATTCTGTTATAGTATTGTTCTCTCATAAACAAATTTAAATTTTAAACGTCAAAATTAAGCATCATGGTCTCAATATACCTTTCAAATGTACCCTTAATAATTATAGAAAAAGTAAACTTTAACATTTCAAATACCATTATGCATTAGAACACAAATGAAAATAATACATTCTATTGTATTTTTTGATGTCAAATATACAATTGACATTAGCATTTATATTGAGATTGTTAAAATTTACAATAAAATTGAACTTTATTAAAATTAATAGAATATTTTAAAAATAATATACCATGTAATTACATAAACCGGTAAATCAAATAAGTAAAAGTTTATAAATATTTTCTCTCTTCTCTGGGGATGTTTGTTTCCTGTATTCGTCCATGATTTTGAATTATGATTTATGGTTCTCTACAGTGTTTTTCTCTCACAAAAAATACACATAAAACGAAAATAATTTTAAATCATGATTCTGAATTTATAAACTAAACATCTACTTATTAAAATTTTTTATTATTTTTTATTAATTAATAATGGTACGAGATATATTATAGTGTATGATTCTCAATATTAATTACTCAAAAGTAAAAATAAGTGAATAATTAGTCAATTCATAAGAAATTTAAATAATCTAAATCTAAACATAAAAAGAGTCAAAAAAAAAAAAAAAAAGTCGCTTCTCCTGTGGCCACACGGCAACGTCTCCTCTTTACTCGTTATATTTAAAGTTGTTTCTCCTTTTTACTCTTTTTTTTAATTTCTTATTCCTTAAACTTTTTCTTATAGGTTTCTCTAATATAATCATATCGTTAGATTATGATCAAGATCATATTATATTAAAAAAAGTAAACAAAATGAATAGTTTTTAATGCAGAAAAATTATCAAAAATTTATTAGTCTATTTACTTTGTTGATTCGAGTTTGTAATTCGAGTTGAGATATGATTTTATGTGATAACTTTTTACTGTAGCAAAAAAGTTAGATGTGACTGTTTCTGAGAACTTTTTACTGTAACAAAACTCAAATTCTAAACTCGAATCGGTGAAGTGAACTCAAATTCTATTTCTAAATTTTTCTTCTATTTTTTTTAATTAAAATAATTCCTTTTAAATATATATCTACTTAATTTTTTTCGGGTCAAAAATTCCCAAATAACTTTAAATATTTTTATGTGATTTTTTTAAATACTTTTTTATGCTTTGCTTCAATTAATGGACTTAAAGCATGTTTGGTCTAAGTTCTAGAACCCGGAACTATAATTTTGGTTCAAACCAGTGTTTGTTTATAAAAAGTAATAAATTATTCTGATTTGACTCACCTAGAATCAGTATTTGGTTTCGATGGTTCTGATTCAAGGTTTGAACCCTGATGTGATATTTTAAATCAAGAATCACCCATAATTCTAAAACCACCCCCTAGTTTTGGGTGGTTCAAACTTCTGATTCTGGTTCTGGTTTCAAAATCATAATGTGGACCCAAAATTATGAATCATGATTATGGTTCCAAAATCAAAACTAGAATCACTATAATTTGAACCCGCATACTAAACGAAACCTTAGTTTCTAAAGAGGTTACGAGTCCGTTTGGTTCATGGATTAGAACCATGTGATTAGAATAATTTTTGATTTACGTGTATTTTTTATGAGAGAAAATACTATAGCGAATCACGAATCATGATTCGAATCCCTCTACCAAACATCACCTACGTGTTTTAACACAATATCAAACTTATAAAATTATTCTCCATTATCAAACTTACAAAATTATTCCCCACGTGCTACCTCACTTAGTTAGGGGAAAAAAAAAAAAAAAAAAAAAAACCTTTTAAAGTTTGTTGAGGGTACAGATCATAGCTTGGCGCGGTTTGCACAGGGCTTCCAAGGGCTGGAATTTGGACATGGTGAGGCCAAGTTCCTCTGCCAAGTCGACAGTCTGTGCGCCAATTCTGTCCCACTCAAACGACTGTATTAAGCATCCTAACGCTAAGGCCACCACTCGCCTCCCCAAAAGAGCCCCTGGACAGACCCGCCTTCCCGCACCAAATGTAAGCAACTTATTCCCAACTTCTGTATGATCATCACCTCCTTCAAATCTCTCTGGCCAAAATCTAGTCGCCTTTTCCCACAACTTCTCGTCCCTATGAATAGTCCATGCGTTGACCAACAACATGGTCCCTTTTGGTACGTGAAATCCCGAGACATTGCAATCCTCAGAGGATTCGTGTGGTAATATGATTGGAACTGTTGGGAACAACCTAAATGTCTCGTTGATTATGTTATGTAGGTAATTCAAGTTGGGCAAATCTGATTCGTTCATCAGCCGTTCATGTCCCACATTGCCCTCTATCTCACCCAAAGCTCTTTGCATTGCGTTTGGATGATTCAGAAGAAGCGACATCGCCCATTCAATTGTGATTACTGAAGTGTCGGTCCCAGCAAACAGCATTGCCTGATCAAGCACTCATCATCATCATGATATGTATGTTTAGATTAATACACATTTAGAAACCGAGTAGCACTGGAATATTATGCATTTCATATCTCTAAATAGCTAGTCGCGTGGCCCTTCATGTGTAAAAACTATTCTATTTAATGGTGACTGTATTTATGCAAGTGATCATTCATATGATTTAAAGACAATTAATAAAGTAGTCAAAACCGTACCAAAATAAGACCTTTTATGGTCTCATCGTCATACTCTTGAGGATTTGACTTTTGCAATGACAATATTAGGTCAATAAACGTCATGTTCCTTTGATCATGGCCGTTTGCATCAGACTCGGCCCTCTCTAGTATTTTCCGGTGCTCGTCGACGAGGCTCTGGAAAAAGCTGTCCATCTTTTTCATACTATTGGTCATCCTCTTCTCAACTCCTTGAAAATCTATCCACTGCAAAAAGGGCAAGAAATCGTTTATGTTTGAGCTCGCTAGAAGCCCCGACACCTCCCTCATGATCGACTGGAATTGCTTAGCTTCCTCCTCCACAACTTCATTCCCGTAGTACCGCTTTCCGGCGATCATCTTCATCATGATGTTGAATACAAGGTCAACGATCTTTGGTCTCAGCTTTACTCTTGTCCATTTTGTATAATTATTATTATTATTATTATTATGATCAGATTCATCGTGATCACTCGAGTAGTAACAGTGTTCTTTCAATAGTTGCTTCACCATTAGCTTAGTCTCCTCATGTCGAATTCCGGAGAACATCAAAAGGCGGTTTGCGGACAAGAGCTCAAGAGTGGTGAGACGGCGAAGGCTACGCCAGTGGTCGTTGTAGTTGGAGAATCCCATGGTCTTGCTATTGTAGTTAAGATGCTTCCCCGCGAGTGTCCGAGGCCGGTTGGCGAAGACGACGTCGTTTTTCGTGAAGCATTCTTCGGCCGCCGAGAACGAGGACACCACGAGGGCGTTGCGGGTTCCCAATCGGAGGAGCAATACGTCACCGTATTTTTGGGCCATGTGGTGTAGGGTTCGGTGAAGTGGTTGCTTTAGGAGATGGAGATGGCCTATAAGTGGTAGTGAGGGAGGACTCGGTGGAAACTTTTTAGCATGTTTTTTTGTGAGAATGAACTTTGTGATCAAGAGAATTACAAACAAGATTGAGAAGATTGGAAGGTAATTGGACCAGAAAGATATTGATGCCAGTTCCATACTTGGTGATTGTTTAATTGCTTCTAAGCATATCATGGAATGCAAAATGCAAATGCAAACTAATGGCTTTAAATTACTTAATTTAATTTAGAAAACTTGATTTGAGGGAATAAAAGAAAGAAAATAATGAACATGAGTAATTAATTACTTTTTACAGATAAAAACAACTTGGACTTCGCAAAACAAAAAAAAACAAAAAAAAAATTAGATTTCACATACACGATGTAAATAACAAAGCAAAGGAAAGCAATTAACATATATTATAAACCATGACTCGGTTGTTAATTGGTGAAGTGTTAGTTACTTGTCCGGCCGGCAACTAGAAAATTAGCAATACCTTCAAGCATGAGTAAGCAATAAATTAAAGTATGTATAGATCACTTTCATCTATAAAAATATACATCACACAATTGACTTGCTTGTCTTTTCTTAAGGAAATATTGGCTTGGTCACGAATTAAATGTATATCACGTACTAAAATGCTTATTAAGTGCGTACAAAATTATATATTGACTTCTTGTTACCATCAAAACTATCGCACGTTATAAATTTTAGAGTTTGGACTTCAGACCCTACATATATATAGACACACACACACACTTCGCAGCGTATCTTATCATATAATCACCTGATTATATGCCAATTAAATGTATGTCAAATATTAGACGACATCATTCTCAATATATATATATATATATATATATATATATATTAGACGACATCAGTGATCAACGTACACCTGTCCTTTACAAAGCAGAATATACAGTATAGCATAAAATTGTGGCTACAATCTAACGATGTATAGTAATATTAAACAACTATTAACAATACATATTTGACATTTAATCTTCCCGCGACACTTCATCACGATCTTTTAATTTGGAGGTTCCTAGATATTTTCTTCTACTAATTATAACCTTAAACTTCGATTACTGCTAAAATGTGCGCTCAATGAGTGATGGGTAATTGTGCTTATTCAAAAAATGGAATAGAAAGGAAGACTATTGTTAACTAAACCCCACTAAGCAGTGTTAATTAGACAACCGCGCATCAATTCTCCCTTCCTGCCATACAACTATCTATGACCAGGAAAAAAAATAAAAATAAAAATAAAAATAAAAAACCACTATCGTTGTAATAATATAGGCCTCATTCTTTGTTTGTGCGATTTTTCAAACATCAACTTTTGGTGGTCAGATCTCCTTCTTTGTCTGATGGTGGGCGTTGGGAGTTGTCATGCATAAGACACTTTGTCGCTCACGTTAGATGAATATTCTTAGGATCTCAGAATGAAAGGAAAATGAAAGACAAAGAAAGAAAGGATAAACAATCTTTTCGGGTCTTAAGACAAACGGGGTCTAACATTCTCCTTTTTTACCACCATATTATTATGTTTCATTAAATACGTATATTTCTTTTAAATTATTATTTTATAATCATTTGACGCTTCAAAACTGCGTATACTGACAGATATATTTTTTTAAAATCCTGTATTGAATTTTCACATCTTCATAATATAATAAACCTTGTGTGGTTTTTGATAAACAGTTTGTACAATGTCTTTAAAATCATACAATTATCAACAGTTCAAATATACAGTGTTTTTCCCTTTTTTCCTAACACCTCATAAAGGAATTGCTGGTATGAGGATTCTAAAGCTTCTTCCTTTTTCACACTCAGCAAACTTTGTTTGAGGCATTCACATACGTATATTTACACTTTAACAATACATTTGAGATGGAAATTAGAAACCCAACCAGGCTGATGGTATTGGCTGAAACTTGCTTTTTGCACAAGCCAACACGTCGTAGTAATCTACATGACTGAAGCAGTCGCGGAAATCCGTCAGGAGCTTTTCAAACACCCTCCATTGGACTTTGATTGATCTTGTATATGGATATGGAAGGAAAACCTGCAGTCAACAAGGGACCAAATTTAAATGGATTCAATACCTTGTACGGTACAATTGTAATTTTTTAGCACTAATGCCCCTGAATTTCTTGTGGTTTGACACTATCTTCCCTAAAATATCATTTTTTTCTTTTTGACAATCTAATCCTCAAATTAGTCAGGGAATTCCCTTACATTATATCTAGTCCCTGTAAGGGTGCGTTTGGAGCAAGGATCCGTGCCATGGTTCGTAGCTCGTTACAGTGTTTTCTCTCACAAAAAACACACGTAAACCGAGAATAATTCTGAATCCATGAACCAAACGTCCTCTAAATGATTGGAGTTGATTGGAACTACAATGTTGTCAAATCAAGTGTGGAAACTAAACTAGTTGGCTAACATCCTCGTCTTTTAAGTTGGAGAGTTATTGTTAGTAAGATTTAAGAAAGTTAAGAAGTTCATTGATATGTCCTAATTAATTTAGAACTTATTAGTTTATGGAGGGTCTTATGAAGATGACATACGTCTCCCTCTTGTGCCAGACGTTTGAGTATCAAAAATGTGTGCTCGTTTTCCTCTAAATTGTCGAGAACAGCCAGCCAGATCTGGGAAGCAAGCTCATGAGCCACGTCTCTTGTTTTTCCACAGGCAATAAACTGATCTGCAAAAATATAAAACAACTAGGTGAAAAAAGTACAGCTTTATGTGAAAAAAGTCTTTTTTTAAATGTTCATTCAAATGCAAATTTCAGAATCCCAGATTTATCCTCCCCTGAGTTCAAGTGAAATATAATTTTCAGCCTTGCATTCTTGGGAATTACAAAGATAAGTTCTCATATTGCCAATCCATACAAGCATAGACGTCAAAACTTTTAAAAATCAAAATCTGCAATATTGACAAAGAACTATGTCCCTGGAAAGATATATATATATATATATATATATATATATATATATATATATATATGTTCAAAGAAAGCATTTACCCATAAGGCAGAGACAAGTTTCTATGCTAGAGAATCGTATTGGATCGAACAAAGATTATAACACATTTCTTCTTCAATATAAATTCAAAAGAGCAGCATGCAAGAAAATATTTAACAGAAATAAGAAGCCCGACCAATTAGGGTTCCGTGAAGTATCCCAGAAGGAGGCAGAACAGTTGAACGTTGGAGCTGCTCTTTTAAGAACAAATAAGCATGTCCCACAATCTCATCAAGTTCACCATCAATAGCAAAGATGTGTCTACTAACATATAGAGCTTCATATCTCCTGTGAAAATTATGTGAGAATGTTAGACTCTCACTACTCTAAAGAAAGCAGTCTTTTGATAATCAAGTTCAACTAACACACTGCTAGAATTTTGTACTTGCACAGTTCTAGAAAAATAATTCAATCTATGAGACTGAAACTTAGAATAGGAGGCCCGAGAGTTGTTACTTACTAATTACAGTTACAAATAGAAGATTTCATGCATATGGTTCACTGATTGACATGTTATAGACCTGCTTTTTACTTGAGTAAAAAGAAAACAATTTGATATACAATCATGGATACCAACTGTAACTTAGAGGGTTTCTTTTTGGTGGGGGCTGACAATGTTCGATTTGAGGAAGGTTAACCTATTAATTAATTGACTTGAGGCTCGTTCATCAAATCACAGCAGCAATTTTTTTTTTTCATCTTTCTATCCATTATCTCTTCTGAAATTATCAGAGAGGGGGAAAAGGAGGAAAGAACACTAAGAATCCAAAGTGTAAATTTACGTTTTAAAGTAATAATGAGGTTTCTTGTTATCGTAAAAGAAGAATTTCAAAGCTACCAAAGCATTAATAACAAAATTTAAGAGAATAAATATCACGGAAAAGAGAAAAAATAGAGACAGGAACCAAAAACCAGAAAGGAGACAAGTAAGGTTACCTCCGGCTTAACCCTCGGGGAATAGGTCCAGGCCACCTTTTAGCACGGCTAGCTGAAGGATAGGTCCTGTCTAGAGCGGCTTGCCACAAGCATTCTTCACGAAACAAAGTTGCCCACTGTTTTTTAACACAAGATACTTGCGACCACTCAGGGACAGGAATTCTAATGAAAATTTCTATCAGAAGGTGATCGGGCAGCTTTCCAAATGAACTAGCAACTAAAGTTTCATTTTCTTTACTATTCATCATTACAATACTGCAGAACAAAATTTTCCTTCTTGTCAAAAGAATAAGGAACAATTAAGCATACATTTTCTGTTCAAAATAAAGAAATTCTTTCTCATTCACAGAAGTGCAGTAAATAACCATCATCAGTTGAGAAAGGTTAAATAAGTAAAATAGCAACACTTAGACAAAAAAGTTTCCTTGAGAATGAACGCTCAACGTGTCTCTCAATGCTAAAATTTGACAAAACTCTTGAAAATATAAGCCTTTGATAGTTCCTCAATTGTAAGAAAAATTGGAATACACAAACATACAAGCAGAATTGAACAACATCAATATACATCACAGTTTTGTTCCCTCATAACTAGAAAAACCAAATAATGCCTCAAGAAAACTGAAATCAATCTTCGGCGACCGAATGCAAGGTCGCGGTATTCAAAAAACAAAGTGACAAAGTTGAGTAAAGGATTAATGGATACAATTCAAGGGAAGTATTTTGATTCCGGCTGACAAGCATAGAGCATGTAAGAGGGAAAATAAAAGGAATGAAGTCAAGTTTGGGATGACATTATTTGTGGATTTTCCAAGCTGAGGATTTGCATTACCCAAACCATCTATTGTATCACATTTAGCTTGCTTAGTAAACATAATTAGCATTTTGGAACTTTTTAATTAGATAGGAGACAATACTAAGTCCTTTAGAATGGAAGGATCAGATACCAACAAACATATGAATATATGATCTTACATGCAAAAACTAGCAAAAGTATTCCCTGTAGCTCAATTCAGCTACTAGAAGTCCGGGGAAGTTTAGATCATTGAAGAGAAAAAGAATGAGAAAGCTGTACAAACAAAACATTAGTCTGAGTTTAGAGACCCAGACCAACTCTGCCAAGAAAAGAAATTCATCTTTTTGTTTACTTTTAACATCAAACAATCCAAATTTCACTTGAGAATAGCAAACTACAACCAAAAAACAAGAAAATTGTTTAGACCCACTACAACAGATGTTGCTCTGAGTATAATTTGATGCTAAAAATTGAAATTTCCAAATTTTAACAGCATATGGAGCTTCCTTTTCACCAACCCACAAAAGTTTATGCCAAAAAAAAAAAAAGAAAAAAAAAATAAAGGAATTTCATCGCACAAAATGAATAACTGAATGACAATTGAATAAATAAACTTCAGGAGGATATTAAAAATAAAAAATAATAAAAAATAAAAACAGAAGAGCAGAAAAATACCAAAGAAGCAGAAAGATAAATGCGAAAGCTTTCTCAGCTGATAAATGGACCGGAAATGGGTAAAAAAGAGAGTTCGGCTGCTTAAGGCTGAGGCAAGAGACAAGAGTCAAGACTCAAGAGGGCTGAGTTTCTTTTATTTTATTTATTTATTATTTGTTCTCTTGTGAAATTTTCGTGTTTGTTCATTAGTATGTTGTCTTCTTGGGTTACAAATGTGAGGCTCTTGTTGCTGGAGCCCACAGAAGCAAACATATAATGGGAATTTTTTTGAAAAATCATCAACCAAGTAACACTATTTTATTTGTATTTTTTATTTTAAAATTTTAATTTATTTTATTATTAAAAATATGTAAGTTATGTTTTCCTAATTTTTGGGTTATTTTTTGTAATTTTTAAGTTATTTTTCGTAATTTATAAATTAATTTTTTGTAATGGTTATTTTTATAATTTACGTTATTTTTTATTATGATATTAAAATTTTATGTAATACATAAATAAAAGAGTTAGAAAAAACAATAATTAAACTTAAAGTTTTCTCATATATAAATCAGAATTTGTAGTAAATAATAAATAGATAATAATAAATAATACAAATAAACGTTACATGGTAAATTTATAATATAGGGACATAGATTATTTGTCTAAAACACCTTTTATTATGTACTAATATGTGTGTATATTGCTGATTCCGTTGAATTTCTAACTGAGATCTGTGATTAAAATACGACGCATGATACGAGGAGCATAATTTAAGGTGTAATTTGTAGTAGTATAGGCACTAGTATGGAATGATGAACACAGTTCGAAGGTCAAAATTTCAAACTAATCAAACTATATTTTGCTCATTTTACTGTTTGAATCATAACTAAAACATTTTATTACAGTATTTTATCTCACAAAAATTTAATTTTAATTTTTTCTATTAAATCCATTTTTCAACTCAAACGACTCTAAAAATGAAAATAAATTAGTTTAATTATCTTTAGTCTAAAAATGGTGGTAGATTTTTTGACTCAACAAAATTGTTCAATTAACTCATCAGAAATTAAAATCAATTATTAGAAAGAGTTAAATTCATATATAGTCCTTTAACTTTTTGCTCTTTCTACAATTAGTTCTTATAATCAATTTTTCTTATTAACAGTCCATGAATTTTAAAAGTGTCTCATAAATGATCTATCTGTTAAATTTTGAATGAAAATCGTTAATTTTGTTTCATAAAAGGTCCTTAAACTATCTTGTCTTTAAATTTAATCTCTAAACTTAAAAGAATTTAGTTCAAAAATTATAAAATTAGAAAAATAAATAAAATAAACCAAAAAAATTCAAATAAAAAAATAAAAAAATGAAAATCTCTAAAGAATAACAACACAAGTTGTCATCTTCTCCACCAAAAATATGAATCTAAATAAATAAAATCTAAAATTTCAACAATACAGAAATTTCTCCTTAGTGCAAAAACACACAAAATATTCAAAGAGCAACAAAGGCAAGTCCAGTAACCGCCCAAGCCTTGAGCATCAATTGAACTGCCGTCAATGAAGCCAAAAAGTGTCATTTTAATATGCGAAACCCTCTTGAGTTTGAATCCAAAAGCCTTATCGGAGTCGAATGAGGTTGGAGAGGGAAGGAGCGACGGTAATGGGTCACGTGTGCGAGGCAAGGGTACGAAAGGGAAGCAACAGAGGTGACGTATAGATGGTAGGGAGGGGCCAACGAACAAGAAGTTAGAGGAGGGTCGTATCTAAAAAAAATCTTGAAGGTGAGGATATTTGAAAAATTTGAGCTTTTTATTTTATTTATTTTTTCTAGATCTTAGGGAAAAAAATAAAAAAAATTTTGGGTTAGAGATTTTTGAAGCTTTAAGAAAGATATGCAATTTTGATTTCTATAACCGTTATTGTTTCTCTTTAACACAAACATTATTTTTAAAGAGAAAAAATAGTTTAAAAAACTTTTATGAGATAAAATTAAAAATTTTCATCTAAAATTTAACAAGAGACCATTTATAAAATACTTTTAAAATTTAAAGAGTGTTTATAAGAAAAATTAACTACAATTGTAAAAGGAAAAAAAAAATACAGGACTATGACTATTTATGAATTTAACTCTATTAGGAATATATTTTATTTATTTATGAAAAATGTTGTACAGGGATTAATGCTAGGGATGAGCAGTGGGACTGGAGGAGTACATCCTTCAACCCTTGCTTTGTTTCTTGTCCCCCAGATCTGTTCACAAACACTAACCGCAAACAATCAAAATTCATTGCAGTCTTTCTGCGGAATTGAGGCAAACTGCTCAGGATCCACGAAAAGCACCAGTAGTCAATCCTAATAGCCCATTTACTCATAAACCACAGATTCCTAGTAAGGGGTCATTTCGTAAACAAATGTTCATCTTCCTATTGAGATTTGAGAGTAACGAAGATTTTAGGGCAGAGTAAAAAAACTAAAAAGGGTTGCTGAAGATGCAGAAAAGTCGGATTTTCTTCAACAGAGATTATGCCACTGGTGGTATTTTTTCTCCTTCTTCCACTCTTTCTCGGTTCAAGATTTTCATAGCTCCCAATCATTCTGAAGCCTCTGCAAATAATAACCAAACCAATATAAAAACAACTCTTGAAAGTGCTTTGAGCTTGTTTGATGAAATGCTCCGAATCCGTCCTCAGCCTTCTGTTGTTCGTTTCACTCAGTTGTTGGGCGAAATTGCCAAAATGAAACGTTATTCTTCTGCGATTTCTCTATACAAGGAAATGGGTCTTCGAGGAATCCCGACTAATGATTATACTCTCAACATTGTGATTCATTGCTTCTGTCGTTTGAATCAGATGAATTATAGTTTGTCTGTCTTGGGAAAATTCGCTAAATCTGGTTATGAACCAGACTCTGTGACGCTGACTAGTCTAATGAATGGGTTTTTGATAGAAGGAAAGGTCGATGAGGCAGCTGAATGCTACCGAAAAATGACCAGTGGGGGATGTAAGCCTGATATCATCACTTGTGGCGTATTGCTAAATGGTTTTTGTAAATTGGGCAAAACTACTGCAGCTGTTGAGTTTCTAAGGAGTATGGAAAAAGACAGGAACTGCAAGCCTAACAAAGTTGCTTATAGTACGGTTATTGATGGCCTTTGCAAGGACGGGCTAGTTGCTGATGCTCTCAATCTCTACTCAGAAATGAGAGGTAAAGGTGTCGTTCCAGATGTTGTGACTTACAACTCCTTAATTCATGGAGCGTGCATGTTTGGCAAAAGGAATGAAGTTATAAGATTATTTAATGAAATGATAGGCCGAAAAATCACTCCCGATGTCCGAACTTTCAATGTCTTGGTGGATGTGCTTTGCAAAGAGGGGATGGTCGGAAATGCACGGTGTGTGATGGGGATTATGGTACAGAGAGGCATCAAACCTGATGTGGCAACATATAATTTGCTTATGGAAGGTTATTCCTTGCAACGACAAGAATTTGGAAAGAGAATGGAAACCATCCATATAGTTGCACTTTTGATGCAATGATCTGAGGATTTATTGCCAATCGTGAGATATTGAAAGCGCTGCAACTTGCTAATAAAATGTTGGATATGCTTCAACTGTGGAGTTGTTTGATGATTTGGTGGCTAATGGTGCATTAGATTCTTCCTTGCGACCACCGATACTAAAGGTTAAAAAAAAAAAAGAAACTATCAACACAACCTTTCATGGTAATTTTATGTTGCACATTTCAATTTTACTATCGATACAACCTTTTTGAACTTAAACGTGTAATTTGATAGATATTTCTCCGTTTTAAATCGTTCATTTATTACTCGAATGCAAATTTTGAACAAATGCGTGGACCTTTGGCTTATACAGTGATTTGTAAAGCACAATAAGATACTTGATGATCTGCATTCTGCATAGAACGAGAACGATATAGTATTTGCAGACATGGATAACCAGTTATCAATCCGCCATAGTTTGGACCTTCTCTGTTCTTCAAGGCTTGTGTGAAAGGCCTCCAATCAAATAAACATATATGAGGTGCACAAGTTGCTTAGAGTGCAGCCGCGTAATCATTTGGATATGGTTAGTTAGTTGGGTGTGACGTGAGTATTCGGTTAGACAGTTAGGATGAGTGCTAGTTGGTTGTACTGATTGTATGATATGGGAGATATATAGAGAGATGTTAGATGGGGAAGAATGTAGGAAATCAGTTGTAACTGAAAGGGAAAAGTCTTAGCTCGTCTAAGCAGGGGAGAGCGAGTAGTCTCTCGAACCACTACCTACTGTTCTAGGGTCATTGTGTACATTTGTCCCCAGAATTCATTCATTCATCAATAAAGAGTACATTTCAGCCATTGATTAGCCATTATTCCTCTGTCAATTGACCCTAGATTGTTCAGATCCTATCATTCTGTCCCCATCCAGACGTGCTATGCAGGGATAAAAGTTAATAATGTTGGGACAGTAGTGGATTGTCACAGAACTAAGGTTGATGCCATTTACTAGATTATCACTGAACAAGTCTTTGTTGGCCTCAAAGTGTGATTGTTTCCTATCTATCTTTATTCTTGGTAAATTTCCAAAAATGTACTGTAAAAATGCAGTCTTTGTATCTTTACATCCAATAGATGTTGGTAAGCTGACTTGCTTGGAGGAATCCTTGTGTTTGGTTTTCTGTCTGCTATCCAGGTTCTCATGGAATTGTTGTTTGTCTACTTTGTTTTGGTCCATGGTGGTTATTTTGTTTTGTTTTTTTTTTTTGTTTTGTTTTTTTTTTTTTCAGTCTCTCTTTAGAACCTATGCTGACCTCGTCTCTTTTTCTCTTTAATTTTTTGTTCTGCTTGGTTGTATCAAAACATTTGGCTATGCAGTCCAGAGAAATCTGAATAAACAAAAAATATATATATATATATATTTAAATATTGAGTTTCTAAATTCTAAGTATTTATTGGTAAATTCTTTACTTAAAGTGGATATTTCATTCGGTTAATACTGGACTTACCGCAACAAAGCTATGCAGTCCAGAGAAATCTGAATAAACAAAAAATATATATATATATATATTTAAATATTGAGTTTCTAAATTCTAAGTATTTATTGGTAAATTCTTTACTTAAAGTGGATATTTCATTCGGTTAATACTGGACTTACCCAAAAAAAAAAAAAAAAAAAAAAAAAAAAAAATCTAGGTTTTGATTTCGGTAAATCATGATTTATTTAGTAAATCCTTATTTACCATGTATATCCTTATTTTTACCAATTCGGATAAATCCTTGATATGTTAGTTAAATCGTTAATTTACTAAAAACAATATGTTACCTTAGTATAAAATTATAAATACTAGATTTACTGGATCAATCTTTTATTTACTAAGAAAATCTTTATAAATTTTTTATTTGACTTTTATAATGTTGAAATGTTTTATAGTACACTTTTTATTTATTTTAGATTTAGTCAGTAAATCTTAAACTTAGTTACTTGTAAAACTCTTATTTCTTAGATTTGTATAGTTTACTTTTGTATTTTCTAAATATTTTATTTACATATCTGAGTTAGCGTGATAAATTACTTTATTAATCTTTTATTTATTTCCTCAACTTTTTTATTGTTTAAATATTTAATTGCGAAACCTCTTATTTTTCTTTATTTTTTTAAATATTTATTTTTCACTATTTATTAATAAGGTAATCACTTTTTGAAAAGGTCAGTAAATAGATTACTTTTATGAAATTATAAAAAAGTCTGCGAATTTTATGGAATTTCCAAGTTGAAACCCTAATTCAGTAACTTCCCCCCACGGCTATTTCTTCTCCGCCGCGATCATTCATCATTTCTTTCTTTCTTTCTTTTTTTTTAAATAATAAAATTTGAAAAGCGTCCTTTATAAAGCTCGGCTTCTAGGTAGGGTTTTTTTTCCCCAGTCCGATTGACTAGAGAGAGAGAGAGAGGGGAGAGAGAAAGGAGGGCAAAATGAAGACAATCCTCTCATCGGAAACCATGGAAATCCCTGAGGGGGTTAAGATCAAGGTCCACGCGAAGGTAATAGAAGTGAAGGGACCAAGGGGAAAGATCACCAGAAACTTCAAACACCTGAACCTGGATTTCGACCTCATCTCCGACGAGACCTCCGGCAAGCGACAGCTAAAGATCGAGTCGTGGTTCGGTTCTCGGAAGACCAGCGCCGCCATCCGTACGGCGCTCAGCCATGTCGAGAACCTTATTTCTGGAGTAACCAAGGGATACCGGTATAAGATGCGCTTCGTCTATGCTCATTTTCCCATCAATGCGTCGATCACCCACGGAAACAAGTCTATTGAGATCAGAAATTTCTTAGGCGAGAAGAAGGTAAATGAAATTCGAGTCTTTTGCTTTGTTTTAGAAATTTCTTTTTGTGTTTTGCTTAATTATTTGTTTGGTCTGAAAATGCGGTGCTTTCTCATTTCATACATAAATTCTAAAAATGCTAATTTGTCAAGTGACCATAGTTTCCTGATTGTGTTGAATTGAAATCTAAACAAGATAGGGAACTTATTTCCCCTCTTTGATATAAATTTTGCTTGACGTTTTCTCTACCAGATAAAAAATTGTGTGCTGCTCTTTCTTATAAAGATCTAGGTTTAGGGCTGCATTAGTGCCAGACACTTGAATCGTTACTCATAGAAAAGAAATAAGTTTGTTTCGGATTTGAGTTTTAAATCAGTGTCGAACATCATAGTTATTGCTCTGCTGTTCTAGAATTTATTATTTTGGAACAAGTTTGGGAGTCTTTGGCATTCTAGCTGATAACTGCTTAGTGCTCACCATCGGGCATTTCATGTGACGATTTGTTTCTCTCTACCGTTTGCAATTTGCTGTGGGTGCATTATAATGTACATGTGGATTTGTTTGATAGAAAATACTTGCCGCTTGGTCCATACTTGTTAAGGATGAACTAGTCGTGTGTATAATTGTTTTTCACTTGACGTACATTAATACTCGTGACCTATTTACAGGTTGTTAGATTAACTTTTTTGGAACCTTTAGGACGATTTTGCAATTTGATTATTCCCAAATTTAGTGGTTACTTATTTTCACTTCTTGTGCGGTTATGAGTGCGGCCTTTGACGACTGTGCTTTTTGCTTCAATCAGGTGAGGAAGGTGGACATGCTTGAGGGAGTTTCTATCATAAGATCTGATAAAGTTAAGGATGAACTCGTTTTGGACGGAAATGACATCGAGCTTGTCTCTCGGTCCGCTGCTCTGATAAATCAGGTCCTTGCACTTGTAGCATTCAGAAAAGTTTAATTCCCGTTAAAGTATATTGTTGTGTGCTCTATATTATGGGCCTGGAAAATATATTTCTGTGAATTTGGATTTTTAATTGTTTGCACATTCTGAGACTTAAATATGTTTTCTGTTTCAACAGAAATGTCACGTCAAGAACAAAGATATCAGGAAGTTCCTTGATGGGATCTATGTCAGCGAGAAGGGGACAATTCTTGATGAGGAATGAAACAGTAGAGACTGATTGAAAGTTCTAGACTTCTATTAGATTTATTTTTTGTTAATTTTGTAGCTTTTTGTTTTCGGATATTGATAGCGCTGATAGGCTTTTTGACTGCTCCTGAGTATTATTTCAGCAGCTTCTAAAAGCAATATTTTGAAGAATGAATCGATAGTTATAATATGAAAGTTATCACAAATTCTGGATGATTAAAACGTATTTCGTTTTATCTTATCCATTTTCTTACTACGCCGTTCGTCAAATAATGTGGTGGAAGATTTCTTTTTGTTAAGATGTCCATTTATGAAATGAGGCTGTAAGTTATAGAAAACGTATCTCTGGTTTTTGTATGTCCATCTTTGGACCCTTCTTCCCTTCCAATAGTTTTTTATATTATGCATCTGCTACATGGTATAAAAAGAAATGAGCCAAATTAATGTGCCTGTTTGGTTGCGTTTTCAAAAACGTTTTTCATGTTTTCCAAGAATAAAAAAATGAAAATGCTCTGACAGTCTTGTTTGGCATTGCATTTCTTGAAAAACAGAAATTGAAAACGTCTTTTTTACTTGTTTCTAAAAAGTGAGTAAAATTGAAAACGATTCTGCGTCGTTTTCATTTTCATTTTCCCCATATCATTCTTGTTTCATTTTCCTTCTTAGTCTTTCCCTGACTCGACCCCCCAACTCTTCTCCAACCTCCCTCCACCCCCTCGACCCTCCTCTTCTCCGATCTCCCTCGACCCCCTCGACCCCCCCTCTTCTCCGATCTCCTCTCCGGCCCTTTATGGCCTTCTTTCGGATGGTCACGAGGCCTTTGTACCGCTTGTTCACGGCCTTAGCCGCCGGCTCGTCCATTGACGGGAAGGGGTCGCCGCCGGGGTTGGAAATAGCTGAAGCCATTATCGGAAGTGGTGGTGGTGATGATTGTTAAGAAATGATTAGTAATGTAATGGGTTTGTATTTATGGGTTTTGGGGTTCGTCCATTATTTTAGCGGGAAATGAATGTATCGCCGGGCGGCGAAGTAGGTGTTTTGTTTGGATTTCGCGGGATTTTTTGGTTTTAGCATGCTCTGAAATCGGCAGTCTTGGCCGGAGATGAAGATGAGTTTGTGGAGAGTATAGTGTGTGTGTGTGTGTAAGAGAGAGAGAGAGAGTAGGGGTGTGTAAGATGTTTGTTAAATTGTCTGGCTCAACTGCATGACGAAGGTAAAGAAAAATTAGAGAGAGAAAGGTAAAGAAAAATTGTGTGTGTGACCTTCAATTGTGTTTTTTTGGATCATGACATGCATAACACAATTTTCATATTTGTTTTGTGATTTATTTTAATGTTGAATAAAAGTGTTATTTTAAATGTGTGATAAGGATGATAATACGAAATAACCGGCTGCAATTGAGGATGATAATAATTAATTTATTATATTAATTATTAGTGTTTTTATTTGAGATTTAATTATTATTTATTGAATATATTATTATTTAAAATACAATTACATGTTTTTAAAAATTAAGCCACCAAACGCAGTTTTAGTTTTTTTTAAACTAAAAACAATCTTAGAATAAAATTACAAAATGAATTTTCAGAAATGATTCCAAAATAGAATGAAAACGTTTTCATTTTTATTTTTATACAAAAAACAAAATTATTTTAGAACGAATTCCAAACACACACAATGATGACTGGTTTTTTCAGCTGCTATGTGTCGAATTGTCAGTTGTAGTTTTTTTTGTTGCTATTTGAGGCATGCATTGTTTGATGAGAACTAGAATTATATGCTTTGCATGAATTTGCAATTGACGTGAGCATTTGAGTCGTCTCATGTCTGTTGTCTCGAAATCAACTGTGCTAATGTGATAAATTCGTTTTGGTAGGGAAAAAGAGACGAATGCATCTTAGAGTATTTTTTATTAATATATTTTTTAGTCAATAACTATATTAATAAAAGGGTATTAATTAAGAGTAAGATATATTAATTAAGAGTAATGGGTAAAATTTAAATTTATGGTTTTTAAGGTGAGTTTAGCAATTTTTTCTTTTAGTTACAAAAGTGATACTAAGGGCCCACCTCTTCTTCTTAGAGTGTTGCCCTGCGATGATGCTTACTAGACATAGACTTAGTTTAGTAGTGCTGTAGATTTAAAAAAAATTATTTTTAACTGTGCTGAAAAAAGAAGCAACTGTTACAAGAAGCCGCTAAGTATTTGGTAAACTGTAATTATAGTAGTTGTGCTGGTTTCAAAATCAGTGTAATAGCGTTTGGTAAATTTTGATGTTGAATTGTTGTGGGTATGTAAAATGACCAAAATAGACATGCTATGAAACTTAAATATATATAATTATTTTTCGTATTTAGAAATACTTGATTAACTTAAAAAAACATAATGTTATGATTTTGAGTTTTTTAACAATAAATTTATTATAATTAATTCTTCTTTTTTTTCATTTCTTCATTCATAATATAGTTACAACTAAAAGGAGCATTAGTGAGTAATCAATTTGTTGAACAAAAATGTACATTTCATGTTCAAAAACTAATAGAGTCATTAAAAGAATTAAGCGTGTTCATTAAACTTGTCGCAATTTGATCTCGTACTTCATCCATTTCTTGTGATAGTGAAGCTTCATCTTCTTCTATATTGTCCTCCGGTTGATGCTCTTCATAAACGAAAAAATCTAGATTATCCTCGACTTCTTGAAAATGTCAATCACGCTTATCATGCATCCTAATATAGTTATGAAGCGTCATTGTTGCAATACCTATTTTTACTTGCTTCGTAAATGAATAATTAGGCGTATCTCTCAAAATTTTCCATTTTTTCTTCTAGACACCAAAAGTGCGTTCAATGACATTTCAAAGAGAAGAATGTGCTTGGTTGAATACCTCTTTACTGCCTGTTGGTCGACGACCCATTCGAAATTGTGGTAAATGGCATCGTTATCCTTTATAAGGTATAAGAAATCTTTTCAATTGTGGATAGCTCCCGTCAACTAAATAATATTTACCTATTAAAATAAAAACACAAGAATTAGTAAAATGTAAAACATATATAATATAAAATATAGACAATGTTTTAACCTTCAAGTGGTTTTGGAAATTTTAAATGTCGGTTACGTAGTGCTGATAAGAATATTCTTGTATCATGGGCACTACCTTCCTAACCTGCATATGCATATATAAATTTCATACTGAAATCATAAGCAACCATCACATTTTGGGTTGGCACACGCTTTCTTCTAATAAATGGCACCTGATCTTCTGGTGGTATTGTAGCTAAAACATGCACGCCATCTATTGCGCCAATACAATTCTAAAAAGAAAAATTTTAGTGTATAAATAAACATAATTTTAGTAGGGAATGAAGCATATAAAAAGTATGATAAACGTTAAAAACAGACAGAAAATGAGATGAATTAGTCTCTTCTGACAAAAGCACATAACCTCTAACAGTCCTCACTTACTAATGAGCATTTACCAGTTACCAAGTTATCCCCGTATCATATAGTTTTTCGGTTTTGTCCATTAATATTCCTAGCAACCGATACACTCCTCAATTGCCACCAACTTAAAAACATTTGAATATCGCAGAATGTAAACCCTGACGCTGGCCTATAAATTAGTGAGGATCCGGTCCCATAAATTGGCTTTACTTGATAGAAGAATAGGCAGATATTACCAGTGTGGGGCCAGAACTACCAAGGAGACTACCGGTGAACTCTCAGCTTGTTACCGCCGAATCCAATACTACTTCATGAGACCAACCTCTTTGGTGTTCAGGTGAAGTCGCCAAAATGTAAAGTCAGTGACCGCTATATGGTGTTTCATATGCTTTGGTAACTCCATTGCTGATCAAATCACATTGGCATTTTCGCGGATTTGGTACAATGGGCAGGAAACATGATGAGAACTAGAAGATGACTGTTAAAGAAATAATTCAACCAGAAACCTCACGAGAGTCATTAAGATCATGTTGATAAAGTATGTCTAGTCTACAACATAATGAAACTACCAAACCAATGATGCAAACTTTGTTACATCTTATTCTTTGTTATAATTCAAGACATTCAAGTGTCATTGTCATTTGATGCTATCATGAATCATAATAAATGACTAGCTCTAACATACCAAATGCATTGCAAAATGCTATGAACATTAGTTCACGAATCTTCTATATTTTTGGTCCATGAAGCTCAAGATAAAGGATATAAATTCATTACAATAACCATTCCATTTTCCTTCAATGATAAGTAGAACAACAACTAATCCTAGAGCCACCAATCTTTGAAACTAATACTAAAGAACAGAAACCATTGTTCAACCGATCTCAACTATGAGCAACAGACACAATCTTCAAACTAATACTACAAAACCAAACAATCGAATACATCAAAACAAATAATAGAAATCAAGACGGGGCAAACAATTTTTACTATTTTAAATTTATTCAAAAATCTACTATTTTAATTTTACCAAACAATTTTTACTGTTTCAATAAGTACTTTTTATCTCTTAAAATCAATACCAAACCCATCCGTAAGAAATGTCAAAGGAAGTAACTATAAAGAGTCCCTTCTGATTTATTCATAATTTGACACCAGCCCGCAATATAAGGCTAATAACTGCCCAAGATCGGAAGCAACCTCCAACAAACGTGCTCTGACACGCGTCAGAAACCCACGTTTTGGGTAGGCAGTGGTAAAGGGAGGAGTTAGGGAGAAAGAGGTCTATAAATAGGGATTTCATGATTATGAGAAAGGGGTTACGACCCCAGGCTTGGATTTCTATTTTCAGAAAGCATTTTTTAGAGAGGAGGGCAGTGTAATTTTGAGTTTTGTATCAACAATACATCATCTGCACAAGAATACAGTAGTTCTCAATTAGAGTGAACCGTTATATATTTCTGTCTCATTTATTTAATTTGCTTTATATTTTTGATGCTTTATTTGATTGTACTTTATGATTTTGCTCAGTATAAAAGTTTTCCATGAAGCATGGTTCTATGGCTTAAATGCAGATAATAACGGTGAACAAAGGCCCAATATCGTATAAATTCAATATACGGTAAGTTGATATTTTCATATGTCATTGTACTACTCCACTTCACTTCAATTCATTGGTTTCTACTTTAAATAGTTCGAAATCAATCTCGTGTGTTCACATCATCTAGTACATGCATTTTGTGAAGAAAAAAGGAGATTTTTTTTTGTAGATTTTATAAACCGAAAATTCTTTATTTTCTAACTATATATTTTACATATTTTTTTAATATAATGTGAAGTTTATCAAATTTAACAGTTAAAAATTAACCCTATTAATAATAAGAAACTCTATTAAAAAAAATCCTTATGGAAAAAATGTGGAACAAGTTTCTTTTCTTTTCTTTTTCTCGTTTTTTGAAGTTAGATAGAGAAAATTAATATTTGTGACTGTGTTGCAGGCTTGCAGCCGGCTGGCCGGCTTGTCGTTGATGGAATTGATACGCCAAATTAAAAAGTCAAAGAAAGAAAACAAAAGTTTCAATTTGTCTATACTCCGCAGTCCATTCCCTATTTGTGTCGTTTTATTTTTTCCGGTTGTCTTTTATGTTTAAAGATTCTTCTTTTATTTTATTTTATTTTTTTGTTGGAAGACTTTTCAGTTACGCATGAATGAAAACTACTTTGAAAGCAGCATAAAATTTCATTCAACTCGTCTATTAATTGATTGATGGGTCACCACAAGATAATAGGAGATATGGTCTTATGTGAAATTATGGAGCCTAACCCATTTTATGACCACAGTTTTTGATTTAAGAGCGTCATTATGTAGCCAAAATAAACGCCCATGGTCCCAACTATTGACTGCTAGATTTTGTTCTATGTGTCCACTTCTTCCTTTTATTCTCACGTTATGGTTCTGTTTTTTTTTAATATTTTTTTAATAATTCCATTATATTATAATAAGAATTCATTACATTTTTCAATAGTAAAAAGTGTGTATTTTAGATAGCCATAATACTTGATACTACAAAAATATGTTCACTAAACATTTAACGCAATTGAGCATCTCGACACCATAGTTGATATAGAAAAGGTCCTATATAAATACGACATACATGTGATTTCCATCGCATAAAAGACAGCAGTGATTTCTTTTATCATTTTTCTATGAGCATACTTTAATTTATCAATTGATTTTTGTATATCCAAATAAAAATATGCATTTTCATGAGCAAAATGAAATAATCCGTCTTGAGTTGCAAGACTAAAATAAAAAATTACTATTTCTTGAACTAAAACAAGATTCCTCTCCAATAATATATATATATATATATTATTAGCACCAATTAATGGATTCATACATGCGCATACATATATATATATATATATATATATATAACTAGTCCAAGATTCTCCTTTTCGCCACATTAACAAAAAGAATTATCTCCTTTTTTGGTTGAATTAAGAAATATCTTCATAATTGTCCAACTACATAATCTCTAATATAAGAAGCGTGGATGGGCATGAAGAATTCGTATAATGAAAAACTCTCACATTAAATTATATTTCAGTTTAAATTAAAAATTTAAATCTACAAAATTAAATGAGGTCTTAAGTGACGTTTATTTCAACAATTCTATTGATTTAAGATCATAATTCTTAATTTATTACAATATTTTTTTCTTATAAAAAATTTAAATTTTAAAAATTAAAATAATAAATTATAATTTTAAATTTATAAACTAAACATCACCCTACCTAGAAAAAACCAAAATAAATATTGAATATTCTGTATTAACCTTTTTATCTTAACTAACGTAATAAACCGTGATAGAATTCAACCCCTGTCCTTGTCCTTACAAAAATAAAAAAATTAAAAAAAAAAAGAAAGAAAAGAAAAGAAATAAAAGATCATTCACACCAATTGAATCATTCATGTCCAATAATTAGAGAAAAATGGGTGTCTATTCATGTTCTATAAAAGCGGAATCATCACGCTGTTTGCTTTATTACTTGAATCTCGCACTCAGATTCCGGTTCTTTTCCTTTTCTCTTACCACGTTTTCATTTTTCACTGCTTCATTTGCTTGGAGACAGAGAGAGAGAGATAGATAGATAGATAGATACACAAAAAGAAGCTTCATCTCAGTTTTGATCTCAAACGTACAACGTAAGTCATTTCATTTCATTCTATGATGCTGGTATTTTGTTTCTCAATTCTATTCCAGTAAATTGGTTTCTCTTCTGGGATTAACTGATTGGTTTTTAGGAAAAATGTTCAATCATTTGCTACAGTTCATTCTGTACGTTATAAATCTCATGTCATACTATTAGTAATTGATTTTTTCTTCTTTTGTTGATCGATACTGTCATAGCTTTCTTGAAATTTTTGTTGGAATAAATCAATTTACACATTAATGAAGAAAACTTCTGTCATTTTTTTTTCTTTGACCAAATTGTATATTGTGTTAATGACTTCAGAAAGCTTGGAGAAAAAGATACCAAAATCCCAGATGGGTTTTGAAGGCGATGAGGAATTAGCCGCCCAGAATGAAGTTCCAACGAAATCGGTTTTCAGATACAACTCGCCTTTGGTGCAAGTGAGCCTAATTGGGTTGGTCTGCTTCTGCTGTCCCGGCATGTTCAATGCCCTGTCGGGCATGGGAGGGGGAGGCCAGGTGGACCCCACAGCGTCCGACAACTCCCTCACCGCCCTCTACACGACCTTCGCGGTCTTTGGCATACTTGGTGGTGGCATATACAACATCCTAGGCCCCCGCCTCACTTTGCTTTCAGCCTGCTTGACATATGTCCTCTATGCAGGCTCTTTCCTCTACTACAACCACCACAAGAACCAATCATTTGCCATTGTTGCTGGTGCCGTTCTCGGTGTTGGAGCAGGCCTCCTCTGGGCGGGACAAGGCGCCATCATGACTTCGTACCCGCCGCCTGCTCGCAAAGGGACTTACATCTCGCTTTTCTGGAGCATCTTCAATATGGGAGGTGTCATTGGTGGCCTAATCCCATTTGTTCTCAATTACCACAGAACCAAGGCTGCTTCTGTCAATGATGCTACCTACATCGCCTTCATGTGTTTTATGATCACCGGGGCTCTTCTCTCCTTGGCTATCTTGCCCCCAAGTGAGGTTGTTCGTGACGATGGGACTCGGTGCACCAACATCAAGTACTCGAACGTCTCAACTGAGCTTGTCGAGATCATCAAGCTGTTTCGTAATTGGAAGATGCTTCTCATCGCCCCAGCTGCTTGGTCCAGCAACTTCTTTTACACTTACCATTTCAATAATGTCAATGGGGTGTTGTTCAACTTGAGAACTAGAGGGTTTAACAATGTGTTCTATTGGGGTGCACAGATGTTAGGCTCAATTGGGATTGGATACTTGATGGACTTCAGCTTCAAGAGTAGGAGGACAAGAGGGTATTTTGGAATTGGAGTGGTTGCTGTTCTTGGCACCGCAATTTGGGCAGGTGGGCTTGCCAACCAGCTCAACTACACCCGAGCTGATTCACTAACGATAGAAAAGTTGGATTTTAAAGAATCGGGCAATGATTTTGCTGGACCATTTGTCTTGTATTTCAGCTATGGTTTGCTGGATGCAATGTTTCAGAGTGTGGTTTACTGGTTAATTGGAGCTCTAGCTAATGACTCAGAAACGCTTAGCAGGTAACGGACATTAAAGATGGCTAGCTATGAAATTTTGATGTCTTTCAATTTCATTTCATAAATTAATACCAAAACGATAGTTTGTGAGGGTAATTCTATACCCTCATAAAGATGGCTTTGAATCTATAGATGATGCTGTTATGATTGCATCCAAATAGGATAAGATGATATTTCTTTTATATTTTTAGAGAAAACTATGAGGGTTGTGATACTTTGATTCTCCAACTTTTAGTTTTGGCGCTTACTTCCTGAACTTTTATGTTTCAGGCAGCTTTGGTCCCTGAAACTCAAATTGACGAAGGATATCCGAGAGACTAACAATTTTTTTTTTTTTTGGTGCCATGGTTTTCAGGTACGTTGGTTTTTATAAGGGAGTGCAGAGTGCCGGGGCAGCAGTTGCTTGGCAAGTCGATACGCGGAAAATATCCTTCTTATCACAGTTGATTGTGAATTGGTCACTCACTACATTGAGTTATCCACTTCTGGTGGTTCTGGTCTTGTTGGCTGTTAAGGATGAGAAAACTTCTGAAGAAGAAAATGATACCAAAGATGTTGATCCCCCATCAGCCAAGCCAGCTTTTGTTCACTGACAAGAATTCAACATTTCTTGGCTTACCAAGGCAAGTTATAGTAGATTTTTCATTCTGAAGATGTGATGAAATCATTTCCACGTCTGCCAAAAAGTTGAGAAAATTTATGGTGCAAATGATATGTATTTGTGTATTAGCTTTAAACGAACCAGACATCAATCAAAGTTAATGTTTGGTTTCCTTAGCCTCCATCTCTTTGGTTTATTTTGTTGTCCTGTTTGGTTTCTACTTTTCTAAACACCACCATCTCTTTGGTTTTTAATGGTACACATCACAGGATGGGAATTGTGTAGTCAACTCGTTAGCTAGTTATGCAATTATGATTCCTAAAGACGCTCTTTTGTCTAATTATTTACTAACTTTTGTTAGTCACTATGTATGCAATGATTTACCAAGTGATTAATAAAAAGGTCCATTATTAAAAAAAAGAAAAAATAATAGAAACAGTTTAGCAAAGAATATTAAGCTTTCTCGTCCTTGTAATAAGGTCAATCAGATACTCTTGCTTGAATTAATTAGAAAAATTGTATAGATAAATTCAAGTTTTAGAATGTTGGAATTTTTATATATTGACTTGCATAATTTATGCTCACTTAAACTTATGTAAAACAAGTTTTACACAATGCAGTGGAAAACTCTTTTTTTTTTCAAAAAAAAAAAAACAAAAAAACACAAAAAACAATGTTGGGATGATTAGCATTTTTGTTTTGGTTCTTTCTTGAGATCTACGAACCCCTCTCTCATAACAAATGATTCGGGAAGACCATTGGATTAAATATCTATTCTAGCAAAAAAGGAAAAAAGAAAGAAAAATAACTTTATTTATAACAATCATAATAAAAGAGATAATTACTGATTTTATTTTTAAAAGTGTACAGGTTTAAATTTTTACTTTTCACTGTTAATTAATATCTTTTTAATTAATATAATATTTAATTAAAAAGATATTAATATAATATTTAACTAAAAAAATATTAATTAAAATAAGAGGTAAAAATGAAGAACATGCAAAATTCGGACATTATAAATGTGAGTCCAATATACAGGGTGTAAATTGAGTGTGGTCGCCACTACCGCCAGTTAAATTCCTATTATACATGCTTTACAATTCACGTGAATAATTGTTTGCTTAACAATTAGTATCAGAGACCTCATTTTGAGTTTTAAAGAGGTTGTTCTTTTACGATAAAATTTAGAAAAAGTTTAAACTCGAGTTACAATTTTATTTAAGTTCATGTTTTTTTGTAAAATTTGAGTTTGAACTCGAGTTTGGAGCTAAATTCGAATTCAAAGTTTCCTTTCAACTCGAGTTCATAAACTTGAACTCAAGTTAATGAATAATATTTTTTTTATTCTTAAAAATACCATAACTTTTTCATTTTAATTCTGATTGAGATGATTTTTTTTCTATGTATTCACAACGAGAAGACAAATAAAACCCCATCCATATACCCTATTAAAATTTTTCATCACCATTGAGTTTTTATAAAATACTATCTAAATACAAATTTAAGTTTTGACCCACTCAAATACAAACTTAAAAAGATTCTCAATTCAAATCATAACTCAAATGTGCACATCCAAACACTTACAACTTTAACTCAAGTTATAACTCAAACTCAACTGAAGATCATCATTCAAGTCACCCAAACTCAAAAGTACAAAAGAACAACCTCGAAGTTGTCTCCCGTTTGGTTTTTTCGTGGGCTTTGAAAGTCATTTTTTTTAAGATAATTTTTACGGTGGAACACTTATAAAAACCCCGTTAGTGAAGTACTATTTTTTAACTGTTAGATTAATTTTTTAACAGTTAGATTTATGCAGGTCTATATAAAAAATTTACAGTGCGTCACACATAATTACTCATATTGCGGATTTGACCGTTGAAAAATTAATCTAATGACAAAAAATAGTGTTCCACTAATGAATTTTTTTAGAGTGTTCTACCGTAGAAAATGTTTTTTTAAGTACAATTCTATTTTTCAAATCCTCACATATTCGCTCAAAAAAATATTATGAGAAATGACCTTGTCATAATATATATATATATATATATATTTTTGAATATTATGAATATGAGTTATGGGTGATCTTTTTTCTTTTTACCTCTAAAAAATATTTTGAGAAATGACTTTCATTATCCATAACAAATTCTCGTTTATGCATCACGTTACCAAAATTGTAAAAACAAAAAAAAAAGTAGAAGAAGAAGAAGAAGAAAGATATCATTTCAATTGGACCTTAACTGTAATGATTTACAAATTGTGTCGATTGTGAGGAAAAAAAAGGATCAAGTTGTAAATTTTAAAAAGTTGAGGGGGTGTCGTGAAAAAAAGCCCTTGTATTATTATTAGCTATGTTGTAATAATGCCGACTTAGAAGGCAATTAAGCGTGATTCTTCCCTTTGTTATTACAACGGTCTAACATTTTCATTTCATAAATCCTTCTTCCACGCCCAATAAACACAACATAAAACCCGAACAAGTCTTGGTCAATAAAAGCGAGCGATTACAATTCTATTCTACACAGCAACAGGGAAAAAAAAACTGGTTATAGAGAGAGAAAGAAGAGAGGGAATTTTTGAAAGAGAAATGGTTATGGAGTGCAGATCAGAGATAGGAAAGCCGGTGATAATGGCGATTTGCGGAACTCTCGTCTACTACCACTGCGCTTACAGAGAAGTCAGTCTCCTCTCTCTCTTCTCCGACGTCTTCATCGTCATTCTCTGTTCTCTCGCCATTCTCGGCCTTCTCTTCCGCCAAATCAACATCTCGTTCGTTTTTCCCCTCCTTTAATTTCTCCATTGTTATATTATCACTTAAACTCTTTCATGATCTAATTGCTGTTATTATTATTATTATTGTTATTAGTGTTTTCTTTTTTCTTGTATTGGAATTCAGAATTAGGATTTCTGGGTTGAAAAATTAGAAATTCATCGTAATCAAAGAATGATATGGGATTCTTTTCATGGTTTCCTCAAAATTCTGATGTTGCACTTATTACGAAATATATATTTTTTTAATTTTTATTTTTATATGATTGATGAGAATTCAGAAACGTAACAGAATTGGGGACAGGGCAAGATTGATAAGAATTGAACTTTTAAATAGTTTTTGACAAGTGCGTCTAATATGTGTGGTAGAGAAGTGTCTAATTAGATTACAAAATTAATTGATATGAAGGGTACCGGTGGATCCACTGGAGTGGCAGATTTCTCAGGACACCGCTAATAGCATTGTTGCCTGTTTAGCTAACACTTTCGGTGCCGCTGAGTCTGTATTAAGGGTTGCAGCAACTGGGCACGACAAGAGGCTTTTTCTTAAGGTACTACTGAATCTTTTATTAGTTCTTTTTTTTTTCCTTTCTTTTTAGTTTTTTTATTAGGTTGGTTTTTTCCTTGTTTTCCAAATTCCAATACCTTGAAAATGGAAGTTTGGGTGAAAGTTGCAAAATTTATGTTGTTCTTCTTGTGTAGTAATATTATAAACAAAAGCTATGAGGATAATATCTGGGATTCCATCATACATCTTAAATTCCACTTTGATTTTGGCTAATGGTATCTTATACTTGATTAGCAATAACAATCCTGATCCTGTTTAGTATCTCTTCTTATGAATTAACTTGTGTGACGGAGAGTATTATATGATCGGTTATAAGAGAGGGTTGTAGAGTTTAAAGATTTTTAGCATCAGCCATCAGAATTGCTTCGTTTCAAGATTTTTGGAATATAATGCAGAATTTTGATGGATTATACATGAAGTCGCAAACAGTTTTTCGTTTGTTCATTATTTATCATGCTAAGATTTTACTACTCTTTCCTCAAAAAATAAATATTTGTCACATGTATACTACTTACCATTACTAATAACTGAACTGATCTTTGCTTTTTGTGGTGGGGTTCTTCATATGAGTACAATGTGTCTTTTATGCTAGGCCCATTGGCTGACAATTCTTTGCATGTCTATGCATATAGGTTAACTTAAAAAAAGAATTTGTCTCTTGATAGTGCTCATGATTGTCATGATTCTGTGTCAAGGGAAACAAACTAGTTTCAGTTCTTTAAATGGTATGAGAGGCTGATCACCTTTTGTGTCCCTTTTCAGGTCGTCTTTTGTCTCTATGTGTTGTCAGCTTTGGGACGAGTAGTTTCTGGACTTACAGTTGCATATGCTGGTAAGTTTGGTGCTTCCTTCTTGTACCTTCCAGGGGATTGAAATAACTACTAGCTTTCTATGTTAAACTATGAGAATGATGGAATTTTGCATTGTTATCTGCCAGAATAATTCTTTCACCTTAGATTTTTCACTTTCTTTTCTATCTAGTGAAGTATCTATATTGGAAGAATACTCGAGTCTGTGTTTACTTTATATGGATGCTACAAGCATGAGATGAAATACATAAAAGAAAAATAAGCCGTTAAGAAATAATTCTTTTTTTGCTCAACGTGTATGCTGTCTATGTCAATCAGCTGATAAATCTTGAGAACTTGAATGGTAGTCGTATCTCTTCTTTACAAATGAAAGACAAGATCTTTGTTTGTTCTCTTTCCATCCCCTTTCTAGCGTCACTATATTCAACTTATCAGGATCTTGTGTACTCGAATCAGGGTTATGCTTGTTTTGTCTTTACATGTTGGCGGAGAATACTCAATCAATCAGTGCACCTCTGTCTTGGTTCCGAAGGACAGGTAATGGGACGAATGCGGATATCACTCTAGAGGATGATGCCATGTAGTGTATGCTAATCTTAGTATGTTCACTGTGGTCGTGTTGCTTTTACCTACGTGTATATTAAGATTGGTTGTTGTAAATACAACTTTCTTGAGCCCCATATTGGATGTTGTATAGACTGTTCCCAAAAGCATGATAAATTCAACCTGTAGCTAAATGATTTGTAAATGATAAGTAAAATTTTGAATCCGTTCCTTTGAAGATCTAAAAGAGACAAAGGCTCTTGTGCGTTGAAGATCTAAAAGCAACTCCATAACTTCCGGTTTGTTTCTGCACACGCGATGGATCTATGTGATAAAAGATTGGTACAATAGGCTGCGTATATTTTCCCTTGCACTTTAGAATATGATTGAGCTCATCTAAACACCATGAGGAGGAAGCATCACAGCGAGCTTTGTTTTAGATTTGGTGTATTACTGATTGAGTAATTGTGGTGCATCATCAATCGATCTGGTTGTGTATTTCCAATTGACTTGGTGGCACTGATTGACCAGTAACAGTTATTGATTAACCGATTTCAATCAATAATTTACCCGTTTATCGATAAAGCGTTGATAAATCGGTTTATCAATGATACAAATAATATATCAATGATTGACTACCATAAAAAATGATCATTTACCAGGAAAAAAGCTTGGCCGTTTACCTTAAAAAAAAACAAAAAGTTTGGCCATAACCGGCCATCTACATAATTTCCTCCTCCCCCCACCCCCACACCCAATTGCTCACAGTTGCAGTCGCAACCGTCGTCCGGGCTGGCAACGTCACAATAAAGGCAAGATCACCTCATTGGGGCACCACTCAGTTGATCTCATGAGGCCGCATGCCAAGCTTCTCACCTTGATGTTGTATCTACAAATTCCTTGTAGGTGCAAGGAGCCAAGATGTAGCACCCGGATCTTCAGATGCGACACCATCCTCACGTCATTCTGACATTCAAGCCACCCACCTATTGGGAAAGGTGGCATTTATTACCAAAAAAAAAAAAAGGGTCAATTCAAACGTGAAAGTGTGGTATACAACCTAATCATCTCAAACAAAAAAGAACACGCCAGTTATGAGAAACAATCACAAACATAAGAAAGTAGAATTTTTATAAAAACCATCTATCAAATAAGTGAAAATTGAAAACCTTGAATTAATAACATCTGTGATAACCTTGAATTAATACACATATAAGGATAAACATATATGTGTGTGATTTCTTATAGATGACTCAAGACAAATATTATGCAAGTGCTCGAGTGATAAAAGTCCAAGAAACAAAAAAGTTTTAATCTCTCACTAAATTGCATTAAGTACCTTACTTTTTATTTCAGGACTCATCAAGCTCCGACTAACTTTGGCAGAGTAGGTTGTCGCCAGAAATTAAAATTTGATCATGGAATATATGAATACTTTTCATCACCTGCTTTTAAAGAAGGAATCAATGAAGGTTAAACTACTTTGAGCTTCAATGTTTTGACAAAGCAAAAATAACTCTGGATTACCATCAATATTAGGCCTGAATCTTGTTAATTGAAATAGTTATGTACCTGCCACATTGTCATTATTGTCTTAGTTATGATGAAGAAGTTTGTCTCTAAGGAATAAGAAAACATATATTATGACTACAATGGAAGTTTGATGGATCGGACATAAGTGAAAATTGTTTACAGAATTCATAGTTCTATCTTGCAGCTGGTTTTTAGTTTACGTCGGAGACATACTACCAATTCATCCTAACAAGAAAATAATTAAGATATCGACATGAATAATGGATTCGCTTGAAATTCTTTGAAGCTGTGTATGGATAAATGGATCATGGAGAGTTTTATGTAATACCTCTCCTTGTAGGGGGAAGCAGTGAGAAGTCAAAGAAAATTGAAAAATTTCGCCCTCTTGAGATGTGGTTCGTCTGTTTCAAAATCAACCACATCTGTATTTGCAATTGCTCCAGGCTTGTCTGCATTAACATGTTCTTCTTTGAAATCGTTTGAACTTTGAAATGTGCTAACTTCTTGATTGATGAAAAGTTCTGTATCTTAAATACCCATTAGCTTGACTACCCACTTCTGCTGTTCAAGCGTAGCCACACGCT